CTTCCAATTTCCCCTGTTCAACTGCTCTTGGTGTGGTCGCAACCTGTCCTCTTTTCAATCTCTGAGGTTCGGCATGTGCTGTGCCTACGGGATGATCATCTTCGCCGAGCAAAAGCACGCGACCCACCGCGCGCTGGGTGTGAAGACTCCTGGCCGAATCGGCCGACGACCGCGGATGACTTCAGGGGCACATGGGGGAACGCAAGATAATGTCAACTTTGGATTCATCCGGAGGACCAGGCAAACCACAAGAATCCTCAACATGAAGGGATGGCCCGGCTCAATCCGAAGTTGATTTTTGAGGCATGTTGAGACCCATTTCAGAGGCTCGCGTCCAATTGGCTTCGCCTTGTGGAGCTTGGACCCCAAACCTCCGGCGTCTTTTACCTTTATCGGCCTACCAAAAAGCTTGCTTTGCCACCCATTTGGTGACCCAAATGGAGTTCCCTCTGCAGTCGCACGCCAGACTCGATTGTGCGATCGGGATTCAAGAGCTGGAAACCCAAAGCCCATGGTTTTCCGCCGGAAACGCCGGAAACCTCGCCACTGCTGGAAACCTCATGACTACTATGGGAAGCTTGACACTTTGCGCAAATGATCAGTGGCCTCACCAGGGGGCGAATCGACAGCGTTTTGCGCTCCTCTGAGTGGCCAGGGGACAGATCTTCTCATTTGGGATTTTGGGCTTTTTGTATTCTCTGAATCAACGAGTATTCAGCAACCCCCACGTGCAACGCGGAAGCCCACATGAGCCACAATCAAACCCGGGTAGATGAAGGTTAGTAAGGGACAGTTCCAGCCAGAAACAGCTGCAGCCGCCCCTGTATTTCCTGACCCCGTTTTGCCCCGGTATTTTTGGCAGGAGTCACAATATTCCTCACCCCAGCATTGCATCCAAAACCCTGTTTAACGCTGCAAAAGCTCAATGTGTGATCCTTCCAAAAAGGGGACCCCGTGTTTGAGGAATCCAAAAAAAATGGCGGCATGTGAGCGTGGCATGAGTCACAATCAAAACACGGTATTCAAGTGGTCTACCCAAATCCATCTGCACCCGGCATTACAATCTCGGACCCCCCGGTAAAAATGGAATTGGGGAGGGCCCGGAGGTTTTCGGAGTTCCATCGTTTCCCCGTTCCTAGTGGCAAAGTTGACATGTCCGGCCTGGGGCTGTGGATGGAAACCAAAATCGGACCTGGTCGGGTGCCTCGGAGCCCCGAGTTTCGCCCAAGGATGTGCCTTGTGCCGGGCTGCCCAGTCGGCGGACGTCGATCCTTTCACTTGCTTCATTGGCTTCATTGTTCCTTGTTGGTCTTAAAGGGCATTTATCACTGGAATATGTGCTTATTTTTTCAGGGGACTTGCGTGAAAAATAGAAGTTGCACAGGCGTTTAGTGGAAGTTCATTTTTCTTTGCCGAACCATCCTTCACACATAGACTACACATGTGACGTTTGATGTTCAGCCCCCTGTTTTCTTGAGGGAGTAGCCCTGGATGTCAAATCGGTTGCTTGCCCAGAAAGACTTCAATATGATAGAAAGTGGGCACCAAATGGCTGAACTTCGTGTCGGAAATGTTTGGTGCTTGGTTGCAGGGTGTGAACCCTTGGAGTAGATTTCGATGAACAGCCTAGTGGCGTTAGTGGATCGGACAAGACACCAATTGGCGAGTCGAAGGGACCAAGTCGGGAATTTCTGCTTGGGTTCCACGCAAAGCAAATGCAGGAGCCCATTGGTGGGCGGCAATTGCCCTACGAACAAGCGAAGGGTTGCCCATAGGTTGTCCAGGCAAGTGGGTGTATATCATTTTTGCTGACCAGGCGAACTGGGTGTGTGATTTGATTTGGAGGTTGCCCTTTTTACGTTGTTTTAAGAGGGACACCAAAAGGGGTGACTAACCGCCATGTCTTGGGGTCCCCCTATGTTGACACAGACTCAGATGCCGCCATACACAATCTCTTTCACAAAGGACCTTGAGCATGGCGATGTGTGCCAACAGGGTGGTGCACAACTTATGCTTGCGCAGGCGAATTTGAAGTTGGGCTCTTCCCCGACCAAGTCTCTTCACTCAAGCACCAGCACCCCTTGAAAGTGCACACCCCCTGAAAGTGCAATGGAAGCCCATGTCTTTTTTTAAGCCTGGGGAGGGGTGTACCACATAAGAGGGAATCCTGCACTTTGTGCAGGGAAAACCCTAATCCACCAGGTTGATTAATCCGGGGTCGACGTGAGAACCGAGCAAGTGGTCAACCGGCCAACTGCAACAAGACTTGCCAGCCCCCTCAGTGCCAGAGATGCTTTTTGGATTTCCGCTTTCGGTGGCTTTAGAAGACCCTTAGGTCGCCAATTTGAAGCGGTCTTCCATTTTGATCGGTTGACGTTCAAGCGCGACATGGGTATCCTTGTTTGAGGGTCCCTTTTGGGAATTGTATAGAGGGAAGCCAAAGGGACACCTCTGACTTCATCTCAAATTGGGGCATCCGCCTTTTTGTCTGATGGTTTAAACGAAAACACACAGTCAGACACGTGAGTGGGGGATATCTCAAGAACTCTGTTGCTTACATTTTCAATCACCCCGAGGTGTTTCGAATTCCAACCCCCGTGCTTGCTCACGCATTTCAAGAAGCCTGTTTTCTTCCCCTCCTTTCCACCCCTTCTCCCAGCGACTTCCTTTGCTTCGGTCGGGTCGCCTGAGCCGAGCCGTTGGATCGCCCCAGGGCGGCCTTCGTGTCGGGTATGCTGATGTCCATCTTCAGCGGGATCCCGGTGGCCATCGGCGGCACGGACCTGCGGCGAAGCTGCAAATCGCGGGATGCCGCTCTCCGCCTTCTTTGTAGAGCACTTAGATAAGTTGGCAAGTATAACAAATGACTACGTGAATAAATAAAACATATGTATATATATATATATGTACAGTACCAGCACCGTATACATATAATATATATATATATATATGTATTCCAAGCGATACATAGAAACGATGACTACATTTTGTTTCTTCTCTTATACATGTATACATATAATCCACGCATACGTTCATTATATGTACATACATACATACATACATACATATATATATATACGTATGCATTGCGTTCAGATTCAAGAAACACATCAATGCATAGTCTAGCAAGTGGACATATGACGAAGCAGACCTGTCAACACCTATGTATATATATAGGTGTATATGTATATATGTATGTATGTATATATGTGTATGTATATATTCCTGTGCATGCATACACGTGTGTCAAGACATGCACATTATCATTATATCATTTGACACGTCAGCTATGTAAGCAAACAAATGCATACTGTAACTGAATATGAACATATATATATATATATATATTACACACACGCGTGCGCTGTCTATGCGCAAGAACACGAACAAACAAGACAAGTGTGTTTCGTATGTAAGTGGACGCCCAAGGACTTGAACAAATTGTGAGCGGGCTGGGCAAAGGAGCTCACCCCTGGTGAAGATCCCTCACTGGCTGCCTCTGACCGGAAACGCCGAGGAACCCTGCGGTCTTTTACGGGCTCTTTGTGGAGGTGATCGGCCAGGCGCGCTTTCTCCTCTCGCACGCTGTGAGGCAACTGGCGATCCACTGTGTGAGAGCCGCTGGTTGAAAGGCAGTCGATTGCTTGATCTGCCACTGCACTGCAATTCCCCTGAACCCTGAAACGGATGTGCAACGCCTCCACATCGTGTATCCTCCAGTGTCCGTTTTTGCAACAGTCCACAAATCTCAGAAGGGAGCAGCTGCTCGGAACCACCGTACCCATTGATGACAAGTTCACCTAGGGGTCAAACATTTGCTTGACTCATGAAAGACATGTTCATGGGGTTTCTGGATAGATTTGGTTTGTTTGGTTGGGTTTGGTTGGTTTGTATATGTATATGTGTATATATATATATATATATATATATGTGTTTGGTCTAGTTTTGCTTGTTTGTTTGCTTGCTTGTTTGTTTGCTGTTTTGTTTTGAGTGTTTGTTTGTGTGTTTGTGTGGTTGTGTGGTGGTGTGTGCTTGTGTGCTTGGGCGCTTATGTTCTTGTGTGCTTGCGTGCTGGCGAGTTGCTTGACGGGGTTGGTTGGTCCTGCTGACTGGTAGCGTCGACATTTGAAGAGGCAACGCTACTCCTTTGTACATGCCACTGGAAATTTCTCCCCCACAAGAAGAGCATGCACCGCGATGAGTCCGTGGATGATCACCTTTTAAGCATGTGTCTAAGTTCAATTTTGACACTTCACGCGCTTCACGCAGCTTTCAGGAGCTCACAAACCAACTCGGCCTCGATGCTTGGACGCAGCGGGCAGTAATTTGGGGCTCGGTTTCAGGTTCGAGTTGGTTTCGGGGACAGAGGCTGCAAGCCTGCATCGTTGCTGACCCCTTTGTTCATCGGCGCCCCCTTTTTGGTGTTAGCTTCCTCACTAAACAAGGGTCAACCCCAGAAGAAGATTCCCTTTCCTACCCGGGCCACCAGGCAGAAAGGCAACCTTAAGATGAGGCAACTCCCGCATAGGCATGCCAAAATGTACACACATACGCAAACATACACAGACGCACATACACGTACCGACAAAAGTGCGGCTTTTGGCTGCTGGAGGCTTCTGGCTGGGGGTATCCATGCGGAGTACGTTCAGCCGAAGCTGGCTTGGCTTGTCCCGAGCCCTTCCAAGGGCCTTTGCCGGATAATCATTTCATTGCTTGATTCTTGTTGCCACAGGGAGCAAAGCGAAATGCCACTTGGGTATGTAGAGCGTGGCGTTGTCGCGGAATATCTTTAATATATGTATGTATTTATATATGTATATACATATATAGTAAAATGTTTTGACCCCCCAAAAAAAACGGTGATGTCCAGAACAAACAAATCTGATTGTAAGACGCTTTTGGACCTGAGACGGTTTGCTTGGCCGACGTTTGCAAAAAGAAAAGCAGCGGGAGCCCACAGAAAAACACATGGGATGCATCAGAAGAACCTGACATGGATTATTGGTGAGCAGGGTCAAACTTGGACAATGCTACGTTGCCCATGGATCTTTTTAGGCACGGAGTGGTTTCAGGCTGGTGCATTGCCAATATATGGCTTCAGAAGCAGGCTGATTTGCTGAGCGGCGATGACAAAGCCGAGGCGAACACTGCATCTGCTTCTTACACGACCACTCCTGCTGGAAGGTTGCTCGCGAAGTCCGACGACAGCAAGTACTTCTGCACAGGCTGAGTCATGTCCACGCTTGTGAAGCGGACGTGCATCCGGCCGAGTCATGAGTAAGCCAGTTGCTATTCTCCGGCATCTTGTAAGGCGACCCGGGACAGCGGAAGTTTCTATGGAATTGAAGGTCCCAGGCCAAGGTAGGCGTCATCATACTATGATCGCAGGTTGGGATGTCAGTGACCCGTCGTCGCCCAAAGCCCCTCTTGACACTTTCTGGTCAATTTGACCAACCATTTTGGGGGACCCCTATCTTGAGAAACACCAACATTGGTGACCGTTATTTGTGCTCGGTGCATGCATCGAGGCCTGGTTGGCAACAGGTGCCCAATCTTGACGGAGTGATCGCTGTGAGACAAATCATTGAGCCCGAGAGAGCATTGGACAAGCCAAAAACAAGTCTACTGGTTCGGGCGACAACCAAACTTCCAAAGCCAGGGCTTGAGACGTCTGGGAAGAGTTTCGCTGGGCATTCCTCGCTGGCGAGGCAGCCACCAAGTGGCGTTCGAGCTGGAATGTGCTTCATATCACAAGCAGCTCAGAGCTACGACGATTTTCTCGGTGGCTTTCTCCACCCTGATCTTGGGCTGCTCGCCTGCGGGTAGGGGACCGATGGGAGGTCCTCGATGTTTTCCGTAAGGCATGAAGGGTACGTTTTCCACTTTTTGGTGGCACCAGGAAAAATGGCAGGCTCATGACAGCACAGCTGGCCCCGGGGAACCGCGTAAATTGTTTTCCTTTGGTTTTGCTTTGGAACAAGCCCACAACGGGTCCCTGGAAAAGACACCCGCATGAATCAAGCTTCCAAATCAGATTGGATCATTCGATCTTTGCAAACGGAATTGGTTGCGCCCGGTTCGGCCGTGAAGCGAGTTGTGTCGAAACGACCCCTGTGGGGAGCATGAGGCGTCGGTGAGCCGCCCAAGGAGGCTTGCAGTGATTGAATCATTTCTTTGAAGGGACATGCTGATAGCACCCCAATGTGCCAGGCAAAGTTTTGAAAGTGAGTTGCCTGTTAGCTGCTTCCGAGCCATCCGAGCCATCCTCTGGACGGTGTTGGGCAAGCTGAAGCTCACACGAATTGTCAGCTACATGCCCTACAGCATCTCTGAGGCCGAACCGGGATCGCAGTCGATGCGGGACTCCAATGTCGCCCCCCCGCTCCAAAAGATGATTAGCTGCGGATTGGTTTGGCTTTATCTCACTTCCTCAGGAGCCAATTTTCGATGTGCCGGCTAATTTTTTTAGGAGCAACTGTGCTCTAGTCAGAGGCAGAGGTCCTGCTTAGCCATCAGGTGCCCAGCTCACCTTGTTTCGGTGAGTCGTTTCCAAGCAACACGGGAAAATCAGAATGCCGGCCCGACTGGGTAAGCCCACCCCCCACCCCACCCCCCACAAGCTTTGATATTTTAACGATCATCATTTGCTTACCCATTGGTAACACAGCAAGATGCCTTTTACCCTCAGCCAAGTGAGGGAATGCCTGGTTCGTTTGGCGGGTGTTGGGGAGCCAATCTTGTCGCACCTCCCAATGGCTCCTGCGAATGGGTCCTGCCATTCTCTGAAAATTTATTCCTTGAGGTTCTTGACATGACTGGCTTGGGGAATTGTCCATTTGACGACCGATGCGGGGAACAGTACGCCCGGCTCGCAATAGCCGCAATAGCCGCTGTTTTTTGTTGGGTGGTGTCTCAGTTCACTTTCAAACGGAGGTATTTGCCTTAGAACACATGGCGATTCCAGCATGATCCCAAGAACTTGGGCCCAAGCCCTAAAAAGTGGTCAAGCATCTCACAGGCTTCATCCCGCAAGCACACACACAAGTCCAGGATATCAAGGACGGCGCCTATGGCTGTGAGTTTTAATGGGGAAAACTCTCCAAAGCGTTTGCTGGAAAGACATCCCGATGAAAATTCACCATCCTTCGACCTTGGTTGCCCTGGACCCAGTTCGCTCGAGCGAGCGAACTGTGGCTGCGGTAAGATCTCGACTAAGAGTACAGGGTCAAAGCGGCTGCAGAGTCCTCTTATGCCGGCAAGCGGAGAGCTGATGAACGATGAATGATGTGCGATCTGCTCCATCCCGCTATATGCATGTATGTACACATATACAATGTGCCCATTGAGCTCAAATGGAGGCAGGTGTTTCTCCTGCCTCCCTCGGACCCTTCAACATCCCCTTTAGGATCTGAGATGGTGGTTCCGAAAAGAGCATTTTCCAGAGCAGAAGCTATGCCACGAGGAACGAGTCAGAGGGCTCGTTTCGTCACAGCGGGGTGGACTCAAAACAAGGTTGATGGACGGAGAGTGGCTGGCACCGCAGGACTGAAGGACGTTCAAGAGGATTTAATGAGCAGCTGTTAACTTCAGAAGCCGCCACAACAGGTACACCGGATCGGACATTAATCACTAAAGAAACCCTAGAACTGTTTGGGCACATAGTTGCAATAGTAATATTTGTAGGTGAGTTTTAGGAAGTATCCGAAACCTCCTTGTTCTTGATGGGATTTCCCTGTCAAATCAACCAACAAAAAGGATGCCCCTGTCTCATAGTCTCTGAAGGCCCCCAAAACTCCCCCCCCCCCCCCCAGATTGCCAGGTGGGCACATAGGGTACCTAGGAGTCTGGGGACACAAAGCCAGCGGAAAGACGGGGTGTCTAATATCAGGTGCCAGATAACTTCAAGTAATTCCCCTGTCACGACTACAGATGGTTTTGCAGTTTTGCTCTCCCAAAAATCGCATTCGAATTGTTGAGGCCCTGTCTCAGGAATACCGGCAATTCGAATCTTGCTTTTCTTTTGTTGGCCAGGCCTTTTTGGCGTGCGTCGGCTACAAGGAGGGCCGAGCGGCATTGTGCATGATCAGAGTAGCGTGATATCTCTTCATGGCATGAGACTGTTGGAAATTAGTACCCTCTTAAAAAGGCCTCAAACGTGTCTCAAAGTGAGTGCCAGCCGAAAAACCCACCTTCCATCTTGCCTACTGAATGAACCCTGTGTGGGTTACAGGCAACCGCCATGTTTTGTTGGTTGTCGGTCTTTTGTCCTGCAAAAGTTTCTGGTACAGGTTGCGGAAGACATCCTTTGGCAGGTCTTTTACTACGCCCTCAAGTTCTGCGACATGCAGCCAGAGCAGTTTATGCCCGCCGCGTTTGTAGGCATTGCCCTATACTTTGTCAAGGCGTTTGGGCGTGGGTGGGGAGGGGTTGCTTGGTTGGGTGGTGTTTTTGGTCAACAACCTCAGATTTCAGACAGCTTTTGATCAGAAAGGTTCCCCCGGGACCAATTACTTCTTGGCTCGCAGCCGGAGTCTGATTAGCACACATACGAGGTTCGGCGATGTTTTTGGTAGGTTATGGCGCATTTGGAAGGGACATGGGGGTTGTCACTATTTTTCCCACAAACAAAAGCACGGCGACACTATATAGTTGTCTTGTCTTTTACGTGAGCCTGTGAAGGCTCCTTGAGAACGGGCTCTTGTCAGGTTTACAAGGGGGCTACCCCCCAAGGTCTTTGATTTGGGCTGGGCTTGCTTAAAAGCACAGTTGAGGGAGCCAGGACACGTTGCAGTCGAACAAACAAGGTCTCCAAGCGCATGGATTTGCGCATCGCCAAAGCTGTCCCCTGTGGCCAACGTGTGACTATCCCCCGTGCCCAGTTCTCCACGGCGTTCTTGTGGGCTCTCTTACGCTCAGGCATTCGCAGGTTTTGCTGTGAGCTTCCCCTCCTGAAGGAATCCACCAAAGGGCCCCAATTGAACATACCTGAGATTCGCAAGTCAAACGCAACCTCCGCCAAACAGGGTGCATGTGTACATGTGTGTGTGCGTGTGTGTGTTGTGTGTTGTGTCGTGTCGTGTCGTGTCGTGTTGTAACATATTGTGCGCTGTGGGTGAAGGGCAGAGTTGCGGCGATTTCGGGTGGTCAACTTAATTGCCGGACCTAGCTAAAGGCATTGGCCAAGCGCTCACCTGCAGTCAGCTCTCCATGCTGGGGAGTGCTTCAAACAACCCTCTTGAAAGGGAGAGAGCGGTTTCGGCATGTTCAAACAAGGCCCAGATACCAGGCAAGCCACTAAGGTACCTAGCCATTTTCCTTTCAGCTTATTTTGTGGTTACTTGGGCCATGGACTCACTGGGCGTTTAAGTTTGTTTTTTCTTCGGGTGATCGTGAGGCGCTGCACATTGGGAACCCCACCATCATGATGCCCTTGGGCCTGCTGCTGCCGCTGGCGATCTTCTACGGGCCGCTCAAAGCGAGAGGGTTCCGTTCGGGTCTGGCGCAGCGGATCAGCGCCAAACGATGGGGTTTGGGCCTAGCCACTACCCAAAATGCTAATTGGGAATAGCCAAATCGGATGCCAGGGATTTGCAGCGGGACCCATGCGTCTCCGCGTATCCAAACTAAGTTGTAGCATGCAGCATGCTGTGAGTACCAGAAGCGTGCGGGCAACCGCAGAGCGTGCAGTCAGGTGCATCACGCATGCACGCGCTGAAAGACACACTCGTGCAGCAATGCGAAAGGCTTTGTTCATTTGATGCTTGAAGCCAAGACAGCTGCTGGCCAATGCTGGTCGTGAACCGTGGTAGCCCATGCGAAGCCAAGTCCTTGCTGCTCCCGTGAGTTCTGCTCGTGCTGCTTGGGGGTTTTGCAAAGGGTGTTTAACAACCATGTCCAAGACTGCAACACGTGCTCGTCTATTTGATTGATGCTTCAATTTGCCAGGGAGGGAATGTGGTCTGTGGTCATGTTTGACTGGGTTTATTGGGGTGCACCGAGGACAGTTTATGCCAGTGGCAACACGGTGACGTCTATGCGCGATGCAGGCGTTGAGATCGGTGTTGGGGAAGGGGGAAGATACTTGAACTCTGGGTCGGGAGAGCCCCCTCAGAAGGTTCTCAGAACCCTCCTAAACACTCCTTGTAAGAAGGTTCTAGGATCCTGGCCTTTGGCTGGTCTGAGACTCCACTATTTGTTCAAAGGTGGAAAGGAGATGGCAGATCCACCGAAAGGGTGCTCGCTGATCGAGCGAAGAGGGTTTTTTGGTTTGCCTTACTTAAGCGATGTCTTGTTGCAGGGAAAATGGGAAAACGACTCTTTGCAACCAGTATTGGCTCTTGTATCGACTAGAATCCACGCAAGTGATGTGACTGTACTTTTCGTCACCCACATAGATGAATAAGTGTAATATATATATATATGTACACATGTAACTATGTGGTTCGGATCTGAATCTGCTTGGACCGAAGCTCGAACCCTTCCCATTCTGAGGCGTGCTTCTTTTCAGAAACTTGGGGACTTGTTTGAGGTTCTCCATTGCCTTCTGTTTTAGAGGGGGTTTCCCTGTAAAATAATCGATCAACCAGAAGGCTGCGTGCCTTTCCTGTGGGAATCCGCTGGTCTGAGAAGTATCACATCTCTAATTGGTGTCCAAACAGGATCTGTGATGCGTCAGGACCCAAAGACTTATTTGCCTAGGTCACGTGTCTTGCTAGCCTGTGGAACTGGTTCGGGAATTGGAGCAGCCCCAACCTGTACGCTGGCCGCTGGTTTTTACACCAGAATCCGAATGGGGAACGCAACAAATGTGGGTGTGGCTCGTTTTGAGGGTACTCCTTTTCAGGCTACTAAGGGAAACCAAAAGGCAATCACCACTTTGGTGGTCCCCCTATTTATTTTGATACATGCCCATGTGGACTGTGGCTCATTTGCCGAATCACCTGCCAGGATGGCTCTTCCCAGAGGTCGGCAACGAGCCGTTTTGGTGGGTTTGGACGGATAGTGTCGCGCCTCCCGTCAGCAGAGTGAAAGGTGTTGGTGTGGGTGTGGCCTTGTTGAGGGTACCCTTTTAGGGTTGCTTTACAGGGATACCAACGCAAAATCACTCCTCAGATTGAGGGACTCAAACGACGTATCGCGGGCAAGCACAGGCAGCCTCGCGATGCTGAATTTGCCTCAACATCCGAACTGGGTTTGAGTTCAGAAAGTGTTACAATACCCTTGTGCAATTTACTGGTAACACAGCATGACGCAGGCAATTTGCAATACACCATATGTATACATATATATATATATATGTATACATATATATTTATATGTATAATACGTATGTGTATATATATATATATATAGTACGTATGTGTATATATATATATATACACATTGTGATATATATATATATATATATGTATATATATATATGTATATGATACATATATATATATATATATATATATGTATATATATATATATCTGATATATGATATTCAAATGTATACCTATGTGCAAACATGTATAAGCACATACACACATGTGTGTGTGTGTGTGTACATTTCTACATATACAACACAACAGGGGAAATTTACATATCTACATCTTCCTTCACAGGACCTACCTCCCTCCTTCCTCTGGCGCCCGGGTTTCGAAGCCCTTCGCGCGCTGGGCCCTTCCTGTCCGAGGACCTACGAGAGCATCAACTTCACCGCCTGGGCGAGCACTTTGCCGGACCTGGCGGTGATGATCATCGTCTCCACCATGGCTCCTCGCGCAACGTGGGGCCAGGGCTTTGGGGCTTTGGGCTCGCGGCTCGGGGCTTCGGGGTTGAGACGGTTTTTTACACTTGAAGCATAAAATGAACCACTGCTTGAACTTAGCCTTGTTCTTGCTGGTTCGATTGATACCGACGTTGGAATGACCCCGGAGTGTACGCCATCCAACTAGCGAAGTGTCCGACTTTAGGGGATCCCCGGTTCATTCCCATCGCCCCGAAATTGAGAACCGGCAAATTTGGGGGTGTTTGCCCCCCAAACACACTGGAGGAAGACTAGAATAGACTAAAACTGGGACCGGTTTGTTAGGGTATTTGGCGGGCGGAAGGAGCAGTTGTCTGATGGCCAGGGGGGGTGTTGGCTTCTTTGCTGGTTGGCGTTTCTATCCCAAAAGGGGGATGCAACCCGACGGGGACCCACTTAAAAGGTGGTTCCAACAAAGGACATTCCTTTAAAAGAGGGAGGGTCTTGGCCCCCCCGTTTTGGCAAATAAAGGGACTCCTGAGAGCAAAGATGAGGTTCTTTAGATTGAACATGCAGGGGCCCATTGAAAAGGAGGGTTTCCAAGCACGAAGGGGTGAACTAGAAAAACGCAGGGGAGGAGGGATCACTTTTTGCTCATGGTTCTGGAACATGGGGTTTGAGGGCCAGTTTCTATGATACCAAGGACCCCGCCGCCTTCAAAGTGAGAAAGTTGTCATGGGGATGGCCCACGTTACTGTCTGTGTCTCACCAACAACTTGTTTGCTTGACTGTTGTGATTCAGTCAAGTAGTCAAGTGAGGATGATGTGGAGACAACAGCGTGTGGCTGGAAGTCTACGGGTATTTTGAACATGAAGTTGGAACAATTGCACGCCTGGGGCCAGAAACAGCCCGTGTCTTGTTGGCAGTTGCTGAACCAAGCTCAGTCAACAGGCGATATCAGCCTCTAACTTAGCTTTTTCGTTCAGGATCTCTTTGGGCCATCAGCTTTATGACAAGAACACACAGATTACTTGGCCTCCAATCGTTTCGCGGTTCTCAGAGGTGTCCGTGGCATTTGCTATGGGGCGTTGCTGGTTTTTTTTCTCCGTCAGACCAGGAATGCAACTACCGGAATGCTAAACCCCGACGATGCCGAGGTACGGACGATACATGTCAAACAGGCCCGACATAGCGAGGAAAGCACTTGGCCCAACTCAGCCAGCAGCAAAGCACCCCACAAACCAGGCGGCCTCAACGCCTCTGATCCATTTGGGTGCATGCGTTAAGACCATTTTTCACCAAGGAGGAACAAACACATCTATGGGGGTCCGAACCCTAACAGATGCCCCATGTGGCTCTTCCAATCCAACCAGAAGTGGTTCGTTCCCCAAAAGAACTGGTTTAGTGGGACACCAAACCCTTTTCACATTTTTTGGTTTTTTTTTTTGGTTTCGGGAATTCTGGTTGATTCGAGGATTGCGTCTTGAAGATCCATGCCACCCAGACCAAGCTGCCCTTGTGACCTGGCCGAAGCGGGTTCCATTTCGATGGGCCCGTTGACCCGTTCCTTTGCTCCGTTTTTAGCACCCCGACTCCGTTCGTTTTTGGAACGGGCATTTTGGGGCACCCATTCCTTTGCAAGTGGGGGCGTCCTCAAGGTTAGAGCTCCTCTTGAGGGGCGTTTGTGGTAGGAAGAAAGGGATCTCGACTAAAGTCGTAAGAGGATCAGTGGGAAGCTTCAATTGAGATGAGGTGGTGGAAAACACGCTGCTTTGGGGGGTTCAAGGTGACAAAGCCAGGGTGGGACAAAGCCAGGGAGGAAAACAAAGCTAGGATGGAACCCTCCTTTTGGGCTGCTCGCCCCGTTCGGAACCCAAACATGTTGTGGTTGGCAGATTTCTCCCTGCCCAAAACCCCATGCCGTGCGAGGAAGCCGGACAGCGATGCGGAGGCAGTGAAGTTCGGGCTCTTCAACTTTATCTTGGCCTGCTGCGGGGGTGCCGTGGGATACATGCAGCTCAAGTTCAACGTCATCAGCTGCTCAGATCCGACCCGGGGGGGGGGGGTGTGGGGGAGTTTGTGGGGGCGGGGGATCCAGCCCGGAAGAAATGCAGATGAAGGGGATTCAATTCCATGTTTCTTCGTCGGATGGAATCCGTTTCAGCGTACTTGATGTTGTCGCACTTATCGAGCGATTGGGTTACGGTCATCTACCCTTGAAGGCCAGTTCCAGGCTTTAGGGAACATGGACACTGCAAGGACGCTAGCCCAGAAATGCAACTTTCGCGGTTGATAGACATTGTGGAACACATTGTTTTTTTCGCTCAATTCGGTGTCATTATTTTTTGGACACTTCCTCGTCGACTTCTTTTTCTACAATACGCACATGCCACTTTCTTTTTTTCCTCGTCGATTGTTTGACAACGTGAAGGATACTATTAAATCCGCCAATGGAGTGAGTGTGACATCCGGCACCAAAGTATTTCCACATACCGTATCCTTTATGGGAAACTAGAAATGCTGACCATGATTCATGTGATTCACGCCAGAAGCTTTGCTTCCTATGTTTGGCAGGCTTATCTTTGTCGCCCAGTTTTAGGGAAACCACCCACGGACCCACGGAGGGAGTCTACAGTAGGTTGCCCTCGCACAGGGCCTTGGTGTAGGAGACTGGTCTCTCAGGGGACGCGCATGGGGCAGTTGGAACACGGGGGGTCTTTCCATTTGCATTGGTGATTCTTTGCTTTCCATCTCCTTTGAATCTCGCATTTCTTGGCGCCGAAGCGAGCCTACTTCAGGGAGTGTTCCCTTGAACCTCACCTGGAGGCTTTGTACAATCTGCCTCCTTTTTGGGGAAACAATACTGGTGGGGTGGGCAATTCTGTTTAGAAACAGAGTTGTTTGAAGGACAGCCTTCCAGGAACTTGGTGAGAACTCGTCTCTCAGAGACACATCTCCGATTCGGAGTCTCCAAGATCCGTGATTTCTCTCGAGTGAGCCAGAACGTCGCCCAGCACTGTCAGCGAGCTAAATTTGAAGGCTCGATTCTATGCCTCTCTTCCTGCTAAACTTCAAATGTCAAACAAACTACGGTTTTGATGTCCTGAGACAGTTCTGTTTTTGGGCAGTCATTTGACCAAATTGTGTTGGGTCAAATGCTGGATGCCCAATCTCACGGGAGACTCGTAAAGATAAAAAGGGTTTAACACATTGCGAACATGATTCTTCCATTATCATGCGCTAAATTGGTTTGATCGCACTCCACAACCCTATGCTAATCTGGGCAACGTGTGATGGTAGAGACCCTTTTGGACCGCATGCTAATTTTTTGGGCCCTTGTTCCAGGGTCTCTTAAAGTGGCTTGAGAGGTTCCCAAAGCAACTGTTTGGCTCCGGCGGTCTTCCTTGAACCCACAGTTTAGCTAGGGCAGTTTGAGGATGTACCAAATGGACTTAGCTTTACCCCCACTGAGGCTACGGAGTGATGCGCAACGCCACGGACCGGCGGGCGGGATTTGTGTACTCTCTGCCGGGAGCCCCCGGAGCGGGGGGGTTTCGAAGCGGCGGAAAGCCACGAGAGGGCAACAGAAACGTACCTGGGATGCTCAGATCAGTTCTCATTGATCAAAGCTTGGCAACCACGCTTTGGACTAGGTGACTAGACACTCAGAAAGAAGGCAATTCGAGTGCAACGAGGTGTTTCCTTCTGTGGGAATAATCATGCATCTCACGGGTCCAATTTGAATCGTGTGTCTACCCGGTTTTAGGCGATGCTCGAAAGATGGACTTGGGTTAAGCACACTTCCCGCTCGAAGATGTTGCAACTATTTGGACCCCCACCCTCAGACATATAGCGCCAACAAAACAAAGATCTTCCATTGAAGGGCCACTGAAACAGCGACTTGCAGCAATGAATCGATTTGGAGCAGCATAATCCCAAGGATCCCCCTGTTTCGAAGACCTGGTGAGGGTCGAAAGCTCGCGACCGAGTTCTTTGTTGCGCCCTTCTGGTTTAAACAGCACGTTTTGGCCCCGATTTAACTGAGACTCCTTTCGGTGGGGGTGATGTTCAAAGGGAATCGTAGCCCTGTTCTCCGTTTTGTCCCACATCTTGGGTTTTCTCCCCAGAAATCAACGGCAAGTCGGCTTGAAGGTTGGAGCATGTTTTTTTTTTTTTGTCTAAACCTCCAAACGCCTCCTTGGAGCCAGCACGGTGGGATCCTGGGTCCGAATTCCGAATCGACCAGGCTGTGTGCGGCCTGTTACTTCAGCACCGTGGAACATTTCAACTACCTGCCCAAGCTGTGCCTGGGTTGCGCTGCGGGGTTGTTCTTTTCGCTTCGGGCTGCATGGGCTTGGATGTCTTGAAAGGACACATGCAGCGCGGACTCGCTGAATCCAGCTATGCTAAGCCGGCAAGGCTTCGGACTCCCATCAAAAACCCTCGGGAATAAGCAAACCAAGGAAGAAATCAAATCAATAAATGCATTCAAAAGAAAATAAAACAAACAACAAAACAAAAATATTGTTTCCAACTCGCCCTTGCCTTCAAGGGCCCTCGTTCGCTGGGGTTTGAGACCGTACGGATGCCATGTGCTCCGACTCGCAGGGTAGGCATGGAGTAGTGCCCCCTGTACCGTATCATGGTCTGTTGCATAGTTTCTATTTTTGTTAGGTCTTTCAGCAGGGCCAGCTGATCCGGATTTTTGCATGGGTTTTTGTGGGGAATTTTCGGCTGCGTTTGACCGGAAGGGGTGAGCAAAAGGGAGATGGGCGCCGATGTGATGCAAGAATTTGCTACTTTTACCAGTTCATCACCTGTCTTTGTTTCATGCTTCTGTCCCGATACAATCACCTGAATTCTGTCAGCGAACGTAATAGTTTGATTGTCTTGTTGATGTAAGAACGACGTCCAGCGAGCGATCGACGGAGAGAGAGAGAGAGAGAGAGAGAGAGAGACAACAAAAACAAAAGAGAAAGAGAGCGAGTGCGAGAGCCAGAGAGAGAGAGAGAGAGAGAGAGAGAGAGAGAAAAGAAGGAAGGAAGGAAGGAAGGAAGGAAGGAAGGAAGGAAGGAAGGAAGGAAGGAAGGAAGGAAGGAAGGAAGGAAGAAAGAAAAGAAAGAACGAAAGAAAGAAAGAAAGAAAGAAAGAGAGAGAGGGAGATAGAGAGAGAAAGAGGATGGGTATGGATTTTCACTCGTTTGCGGCCACTTCCCCCTCTTTGAAGGTAGGGTGATCACTGTGCAAAAGCTTTGACATCCCATAGTTTTTTGCAACCTTATGGGAACCCTAAGCGCGTCGGTAAACGAGATAGGCAACCCTTAGGGTTTCTTAGGGTTCCTGGGGTTTCTGAATGAGCCTGAAGCCTAGGTTACTCCCCCCCCCCCCCCCTGCTAGAAAACAAGGGGATTGCGCTGGTGCGCGTCCTGCGTTCAATCCATCGGAGGTGAGCTCCCCATGCCAAATTTTCCAGAAGCCACAAGGGATGTACTGTTTTCTTACTATTCTTCCCACACCTGCACTACCCTCCCACGTGCTTTGCTCGCTGAGGTTTCTCAGCGCGTTGCTCTTCTTTGCGGGAGCAGGCTTTGTCATTGACAACATGTATGGCTCCAGCAGCTCGGCACCCACTCTGACTGAACCCAAGACCCCTGAGGCGTTTGGGGCCCCGGCGGTTTTGAGGGGCCCTACTACGTCAAACTGGAGGCACCTGTCGGTGTGTACCTGGAAGTGGAAGATCAATTTGCTTGGACCTGACCCCCTGTCAGGTGCCATGTGTGTGGGAGGGTGTGTAGTTTCTGAATCATGTTTGAACTTGACTTGGGCAGATAGTTTTCGTTGGAGCTAGCTCAGACTGATTCTTGGCTTCTCTCAGTGTGAGCCGACAGTGCGCTCTGGAGGTAAGTCTCGGGTGAATGGAAGCTACACTGCCGACTTTCCCCCGCAGTCTGCATTTGTTTATGTTTATTGTCATTGTTGCTATTGTTTGCATGCGTCCTTTCTCTGTCTCCGTCTCTGTGTCCATGTAGGTATGTAGGTGCCCATTGTGGGTGTTTGTTACGGGGAATGCGGCACCAAGCTCAAAATGTCAAGGGATCTGATGGCTGGCAGCCAGCTACGCCCGTTTCTGCATTTACCCATCAGCACAAGAGCTTCAAGTTCGCCTTGTTGGATTCGTTTTCCTTGTATCCTAGAGCCAGGCACAGAGTTGCGGGTTTTCTCCAAACAAATCCACGCGAGCAACCGCCTTTTTTGGCTCGCATGCTCGCTCAGGAAAGTTCCTGCACCTGAGCGAGTGGCTGGAGATTGTGGCGTGGATGACGTGGAAATCGATTTCGGCGTTCGTTCGCAAAGTGCCGGGAATGGGGACAGAAACCAACGGGGTTCCATGACACTTATATCAAGGATTCTTTGAGTGAGGCTGGGGGGGGAGCGGCTGTCAGGGCACTCGCCTTCGAGCAGCAGGGAGGTTCATGAGCTTGTTTGAGTTTGCTTGGTTTTGATCAAAACGCACGCGTGTGTGTGTGTGTGTGTGTATATTCTGAGGATACTCTTTTCACCCTGGTTTAAAGGGATACCAAAAGCGATGTTTGGGTCCGCCCTATTTGGACACATACCCATTTTTTGAGGTTTGTCAAACAGTCTTGGATACATCCAAAATGTTGTCCAACTTCTCTTGGTGCCCTTCCGAGGTACCAATCAATAGCTTATCCTGAAAGCCTTGGACTTTGTGACCCGCGCCTGACGTTTTCCTTAGGTCATCATCATCATCGTGTTCATCGCCTCCGGGCAACTCATCTTCGCGGTGCTCGCGGGCGTGCAGCTCGGCAACAGAGATTCACGACATGGGGATTTTGTAAGTCAAGCTGCAAGCCATACAAGCAGGAACCTTGTCCTAAGTTGCACGCGGCCAAGAAAAAACGGAAAAGAAGGTGTCCCGATAGGGCTGAGTTGGTGGTGGAAAGACCCAGCTTTGCCCTTAAAGCTCCAACAGACCTCATTTGGGCTTGTGTTTTTTGAGGGCACTTTTTAGGTTGGTTCAAAGTGAACAACCGCCAGGAAAAACGTTTTGCCTCAAGTGCCACGCCGTTTTGTTGATGGGGGGCCAAGTGGACATGGGCGTCTTCCGTGGTCGAAAACTTGCCCTCCTATCCACAAGGCTCCTGTGGGAAGATCATTGAGTGGAATCCCTACAGGGAACCTAGTTGCCATGGCAACGTCACAAAGCTTTCTTTGAGGGGCTTCTTTCATTGTGTCAAAGAGGGGGGGCGAGTGGAAAGGTAAATCCTGTGCAGATCCTTTTTTTTCTTCTTCTTTTTCTTCCACCTACCAAAGGTGCAGCGAGGCGAATTGCGAGCCATGGCCAGGTTGCAGGGCTTAAATGTACTCAGTTCTCGGAACGCTTTTGAGAAATGGTGTTTGTGAAAAGTAAGGTTCACTACATGGACAAGAATCAAACATGTTTGTGGGACAGGAACTCGACTTGGGACACACCCATCAGGTGATCCAACCTCTCAAAATAAGACGATTTTCAGAGAAAACCCAGGGTGAGGGGAGTCAGGCGCGTTATTTCCGGGGGGGGCGGGGTGGAGTCCCACGAACAAACGCACGCACGGGCAGCGATTCCACGGGTTACGATCGAGGCTCTTGGCTGCCGTCGCCTTCATTGCCAAGTGCCCTGGGCAGAGCTGCGGAATTCCAGGGGTGAAAGTAGATGGCACAATTCCCGCGTCGTCTAAAGGGGATGACTCAACTTGACTGTGAAACAATGTGCCATCTACTTTCACCCAAGCAGGTACGACCATGTTTTGCCTATTTGACAGTCGTAGTCGGCTTCAGTCACGTAAGGGATTTTCTGACCATGTCCCACGCAGGCGGCATATTCAGCGGGACACGCAATTGATCTCAGGCTTGACCTTCACGTTTTCCAGCTTCAACCTTGCTTAGCGCCAGGGAAACCGGGAAACCAAGCACTCCTCGGGCTCACTTGCCCAAAGCCAGCCTGGCAACCTTTTCGTTTCCAGGTTTTGGTCCATATTGAAGGAGAAGAGATCAACCAACAAGGTCAAGAAACTTGTGTTGGACCTTTCTTCCTGTGTTTGGGCCTTTTGACCTTTTGATATTTCCAGACTGAGCTTACCCTTTTTCAAATTTCTTGCCCTTTTGGTCCATCATTTTTCAACCAGCAACCAGTTCTCACGTTTTTGCAGGTTAGGCTCGGTTTTGGGGCTACTCCTTCTTGGCTTGGCAAAAAAAAGAGGGACAAGCCCATATATATATATATATAGGTGTGTATGTATATATATATATATATCCCTTCTTGGTGGGAAATCAAACACCTTTGTGGCCCATGAGTGGCTCGCCCAAGCGAGGTACGCGAAGGTGCCCGCCATGGCGGGGCGGCCGCACCGGGGGGACGAGGTCACGACCCGGGACCGCCCCGTGGGTGAGGTGCGAAGGGGAAGGGGAGGGGCGGAAGGGTGCCGAAATCGCCGGTATGTGCGGGATTTGTGCGGATCTGCGGCTGTCCTTTTGATGTTTCCCTTGGGTTTTCTATTGAGTCCAATTAAATTATCTCTCTCCTGTTTTGAAACAAGTATGATGGGATTCGCAAAATGGTTTTCTTTTCAGTTTCCCTGTAGTTCTTTTTGTTTTTTTTGGGGGGGATCCTAAAATGGTGGCTTTTGTTTTTTCCCTTCAAACCAAACGAAAAAGGATACCCTTGGTTTTTTGAGGCTCGGGGCCCTCTTCGGGTTGCCTTTCCAGGGACCAAAAGGAAGCCACCAACGTTGGCGGTCCCCTCACAGTTTCAGGGAAAGATGTCGGGATTTCCCGGCTCTTTGTCGGGATCTCGGTTCTTGTCGTTGATCGTTTGGAGCTGGAACGCCTTGTTGTTTAGGTTTTCGACTGGCATGCCCAGTTCTTTACGTGTTCAAGCTGCAACAATACTTCTCGTTTCAGAATTAAATGCCACCGATTCCAGGACTCGCTCGAGGCACGATTCGCGTCAGGTCGGGCACCAAAGCTTTATGCACATCGCCTCGGAGTGGATCATGTGCCTCGTCGCTGAGAAGTTTCGCCCGTCGGCCCAAACAAACCTTCTGACCTGGTTCAGTGATCGATGTTCAGAGGTTCCGAAAGGCAAACCTTGAAGCATCTTCAGGCCCTTTGGGCAGTTGGGAAAACCACTTTGTGAAAATTTGGACTTGCTCTTGGTTCCCTCATTTCACACCATCCCAAGGATACCTAGTCCTTTGACACCTTTGGGGAGGAGATACGCCGCAGTTTCCCAACCAAACAGCCTGTGCCCTTTTGTCCCATGGAACGAAGAAGACTGTCAGTTGCTCGGGGTCAAGTATGGATGTCCTCGCCCGAAAAGTTGCAGGGAGCAAGGGTTTTCCCTTTTGTGCTTGGACTAGTGGCAATGCTCCTGACAGCAAACGCTACTGTTGGTTTGGGGAGGACATGCCTAGATTCCCCACAAAAGCCAAGGGAGAGCCTATTCTGCGCAGGTCCTCCCGGTTCGAGAGGTCAGAATTCGCTGGCCTGGAAGCTGTGGATGGTTTCCACAGCTCATGGCGTAGGCCAATTGCCATCCCGTCCCTCCACACCAAATCCGCGAGCTCTCGCTTCCGTCTTCTTGGAACTGCCGGTTCCATAGCAGGATCAAGAAGTTTGAGCATTGCCCAGCGTCCATTTTGGTTCACAAAATTGCAACCAGTTGACCTAGCCCCAAACCCACCGCAAGCTGCACTTATCCTGGCCCAACCCCCACCCCAAACCCTAAGCCCACCCTGAACAAGGGCCCACACCCAATCTAACCCTTCCACGAGCCTACCCCACGCGCGCACGGAGTTCAGTCCTACATCATATCACCCACGTAAAGAGGAGACTTACAAGGGTCAACCAGGTTTTCCCTGCCTTTCATTCAACGAAGAATCAAGATGAGGGTGATAAATCAGGGAACCATGGCAAGGGTGGTGATATAATGAATCTCTCGTGGCGAGGGTGGTGCACTTGAAGGGCTATGTCTTCTTCAGCTCCTGCGTGTCCATCGTCCAGTGTGTGGAGCAGCAGTTCATCAAGGAAGAGAAGAACAAGGCGAGTTCCGCTCGACGCTGCCTACTAAGGGACTCGAGCGGGGAAGGCTTGGGCCACGTTGGGTGCGCTGGTAAGTTGATCTCTCCAAGTATTCCTAGAGGTACTGGGAGCCCAGGAAGAGGATTTTGGTTGTTCGCCGGGGGACACCGGCATTGGGGAACATTGCGCTGGTCCACCACGTTGATCCGTCCGTCGACAGATGGGATTGCCCCAATGCCGGAGACGGTCGCATTTCCCGCCTTCGATTGTCCCTGTGCTTCGAGCCATTCAAGTTAGTTAGGGCAAACCACGCGGTAAATGGCAGCGCGTTTGCCTCGAGACTTTGCGATTGCGCCGCCTGAAGAATTCTGAGGTACCCTCCCGTGGCTTTTGAGCTGCGCCTTGCACCCAGGATTCTCAGAGTACCTTCCAAGACCTCCCTCCCTCAAAGCGAAAGCAGCGAACGCAGCGAAGCGCAGCTTTTGCTTCGCGCGCAACCGGCGCTGCCAGATGCCATCCTTCCGGCGTGTGAAGTTCATCGTCTTCGACTCCAAGGCCCGAGCGTTCGCTCGCCCTCGTCTTTGAAGCATTGCCATTCTTGCTCTTTTTCTCGTTGGCGTTCCTTTGTTCAAGTTGTTCAAGGGGCCCAAACGACCCCAACGAAGGCGCCAAGGCCCAAACCCAACGACTCTCGCAACTCGACTTCCCGCGAGGCCATGGACGGCATGGACGCCTCCGGGGCCATGGGCATGCTGAAGCTCACCCGCAAGGCCGGCGATCGCTTCGCCGCGCTTTCCGCGCGCAGGCGCAACAAATCGGCCGAGGCCCAGTGCTTCATCTTCGCAGGGTTAGCCACAGAAAGGGCTCCGTTTGTGCAAAACATTTCTTGCAGGGCCATTGATTTTTGGCCCAGCCAAGCAGTGGACAAGCCACAAACGCTATTGCAACTCCTCCAAGCTGGGGCTTGTGGGTCAGGGTGTATGGTTAGTAGTTACGCTGGTTGCTGGCTCCTTGCTGCTTTTTGTTGGTCTCCTGTTGTTTTTCGTTGTGTAGCCAGGTATCCAGCGGTTGTGACGGGATCTACAGTAAGAGTATCATACTCTCCCATTTGGAGTCAAAGACAACCCCGAGCAGACAACTATCAACCAATGGATTTGACCTTGTGCTTGGGCCTAAAAGAGACTAGCGGCTGGCGAATGTTGGGTTGCGCCCACATGTCAAGTTGAAAGGTACTGCCAAGGAACCTGGAATCCATGTTTGGACGGTTTGTACAGATTGGGGCCACCGGAAACACATCATTCCACGGACAACTTGGGGATCGCAAGGCGTAGACGTTGGATGCTTTTGGACCCCAACAAACAACAGATTGGGCACCATGTGTCAAAACCAAATGAGAAAAAAACAACACGATTCCTTGCTTTTGGTGGATTTTCAGTCAACAATCAGACCCTGGCTCCCTAAGAAAGCTATTCTTGGCAGCGGGGGCAGCTGTGGGGTCATAGCCAATCCTGGGTCTTCCAAGGGAGACCTCCGAGCGCGATGGCACGCGCGCTTCGCGCCAGGCGCAGGGCCGGGGCATCCGGGTACTCTGGTGCGGCTTGGAGGATGCCCTCGCCGAGGCGGGATTCCGGGGTGAACTTGACCCTGTCCTTTTGCTGAGGGCCTGGGACCAAAAAAGACAGAGACAAGGACGGGAAAACCCAGCTACTTTGAGCATGGCCAGAGACAAACGTGGTTGCCTTCTGGCGTCACTTCTCCCTTCAACTGGCCAACAGTTGTCCCTTTTTGCAGAGGTCTACGTTTGGCCCGATTTTAGGATTACTCCTTCTTGGCAAACCAACACAGTCCTTTTCCCGAAAGATTCCTCAACCCAGGTATGCCATTATTTTGCAGCAAAAGGATGACAAAGTGGATACGCTTTGGGGCACTTGGGGTTTTGCACTAGCAAGGGTTTGCAACCTTGGTTGGGGCGACGAGCTCCTTCCAAGCTCGGTACATTGCTCTTTGTCTCCAGTAGCAACAGCATGGTTCAGTATGATTGCTTCCATTTGTTCCCCCTGCAAATCAACCAAGTCCCCAAGAGAGGGTGCCCCTAACAGGAGACGCAGGGTTTGGTCTTTGTCCGTTTGAGTTGAAAGCACCGTGACCTCTATAAGTGCAATCAAAGCAACTCCTCGTGGGGTCAAGAAAAACGCAGGGTGTCAAAGCCAGCCCCTTCGTCCAGTGAGTCCGGTTGAGCGACCAAAACTCGTGGTCAATTCAGTTGGGGATTCTACTCTCTGGGTTTGGGGGAATTATAAGCCCTGTACAAAACTGTGCCCTGAGGCTGGCAGTTGGAACCGAGCATCTGATATAAACGGTTTTCTGGGGATTGGATGTCTTTCTCCAAGCATTGACCCGCCAACACCAACACGGCCTGGAATAGGGCCCTGGGCTGAAAGCCTGCGCAACCAGCGATTCTTTGGGTCTGTCTCCTTGCAGAGATTGAGAGTGGTTGAATGGAAAGGCGCGGGGTGCCTCTGTTTTTGTTCGCTCAAAGCATCGCTGAACTTGTGGACTGCGGTGCGGAAACCAGCCAACGGAGGTTGTAAAACATAGATGTGTCCTAATACCGGGACCAATGGCCTACCGTCCAAGGATCTTACTCTCATGCAGATCAAGGGCGATGCCCGCAAACCCATGATGTTTGGAGGAATCTTCTTTTTTGGGGGCTCCACGTTGATCTGCAGGGGAGTCGGACATTGTTCTTACCCCATTGCTGGGAGCATCGCATTCCGAAGCGCGTCCCTGAGTCAAAGGGAATCATTGACGGACTGAAGGTCTTTTGCCCTGAAACCAACGATGCTTTTGGCCCCCGATTTTGCCCGCATTGACTCAACTGACCTTTTCGTCCCGAATTTCCGTTTTCCTCTTTGACCAAAGCGGGAAACCAGGATGGCGGGGCATGCAATGCCAACAAAGAGGTTTCCCAACCCGGGATGTCCTTCCTTCTATTTTTTCTTGAGGAGATGAGGGTCCGGGACATCTTGAAGGAGGAGGACCGCTTTTCTGACCTGGATGCAGCCAGCTGGCCAGAGCATTGCATTTGGCCTTACAGCGAATCAGGTCCTCTTTGTTTCGGGTGTCGTGTTTTTGTCGCGAAAGGGATTAAACATATCCAGCTGAAAGTTTAGCTTGCAAGGACAAGCCTCACAGAATAGCAACCGGTTGCTGCCGTGAATACCAGTCGATTCCATGAATGTTTTCTCCGATACTGATTCAATAGTCGTAGGGTCGATCCACACGTGGCGCAACCAAACCATACTGAGTTGATTCCGCAAGGTTCTGGCTGGGGAAAAAAACAACCCTTGGTTCATTGGAGTGTGTCCCATTTAAGAAGAGATATCATGTTCTTGTTTTGCTTTTCCGCTTTTCTTTTTTTTTTAATCTACCAGGTTGGTTGCTGTAATCCGGGGTCAAGATGCAATTTCAGCCACCGCCTGCGTGGAGAGACTCAGTATCCAGTTAGATATGATTTCGTTGGTGCAGTTCATCGTTCCTCTTTTTTTCCCCCGGTTGCAAGCTTCCTGAAAGGGAATCTGGGTGCGGGAAAGGATGACTCAAACGGGCGACCCCCTGCCAAATTCGGGCCGGCCGCAGCAAAAAGAGCCTCCCTAAAACCCGAGAACCAAAAGACGACCCCTAAGCCCAACACCCTAAGACGCCTGACCCCCTGAAAGCCCTAAACCCTATCCCAAACAACCGAAACCACAAACCCCTTAGCGTGGATATTCCCAAACAAGGGGAACCGGGTTGATTTGACCGGCCACCAAGAGCACAGCATAGCCAATTTTCAGAATCCATGGAAAGGGAAAAATGAGTTCCATTTGCATGGAAGTAGTTTTGAGAACACGTTTTTGCAAGCCCAGAAAAAATGGAGTTGGTCCTGAGCCATTTGGTCCAAGGCTATGACTCATCTGGAGAAGCGGATTCTTCAGTACAAGGCACGGTCGATGGGTTGGAGTTTGTCAGGAGCTGCCGTGACTCAGTTTTTTTGTTTGTTTTCTTTTTGGGGGGGAGGGGTAGCACATGGGGGTGTCATTTTTTTGGAAGGTACCCCTTTTTGGATGGTTGTAAAGGGATTCCAAAAGAGGTCCCTCCAAAAACAAAACGCACCCACACGGACATTGTGCGCAGTGCAGTTGATATTTTAGTCAAAGGTCAACAACTAAATGCTTGGATGCAATGGATAGAGAGATGGAGGGATGGTTGGGATGGAAGGATGGAGGGATGGAGGGATGGAGGGATGGAGGGATGGAGGGATGGAGGGATGGAGGGATGGAGGGATGGAGGGATGGAGGGACGGAGGGACGGAGGGATGAAGAGATGTGGAGATTGAGGGATGGATGGCGCCGCCTGGGTTTGCGGCCTTACGGCACGATCTTCCAGCTGCGGTTGGACTTTGAGTTCCCATGCGCAGCGCCTGAATCGACCACTCAAGAGGATCGAGCTGAGGTATGCTGCATTGCCTGACAAGCGGCTTGCCGTTTTATCTTCTTCTTTTTTTTTAAACTTTCTCTGGTTTTTCCTTAATTATCCATTTCAACCGGCAACCAAACGTACATTTTGCAGCGCGTCGGATCCGTCTGGTCCAGCTGGAAATGCGATGACGGGCAGTATTTGTACCTCGAATGTTTGCGCCATGTTGCAATTCCCTCGGTTCCGCAATGGGGAACCCTGGCAACAAACATGGAGGTGCTGCAAAGGCAGAGGGGTAGCAGTCTTCCAAAGGGCTCTGTGCGTTGCATGCTTGTGTGAGGGGCATTTCTTTTTTCTGATCGGGGCATTTGAACCTCGGGATGCGGCGACGTAGTTTTGTGAATTCGCCCGAGGCCGCGCAGCAAAGGGAGTGGATGAACCTGCACCCAGCAGCCTGGCAGAGGTTTGCGGGGTCAAAATTAGGTATGCTTTTTGGTTTCTTTGACAGGCGGCACACGACATCCCCCTCCACTTGAGGCCATCTGTTCCTGAAGTCCCATTGAAGAATATCTTGGGAGTGTGTCCCGTGGAACAACGTTTGGTTGGCGTGTGGTTCTCATCAGAACTTTTGATAGTGGGCTTTGCGTTGAAATCCGCCAACCCCCAAGCTGGGGAAGTCTTGCTTCCCACATTGGGCAAGACACGGAAAGCAGGGTGCGCCCATGGTGTCTGAGATAGAATAAGTCTCAGCTATCATGACGCATCATTATTTCCAGACAAAAGGCTTTATCATTCCAAGAGTTTCATACTTTTCGGATACTTTTTGCGCCGTTTTTATTCTTGCCCTTCATTTTCCCTTTCAACCAGCAATCCTTTTCCCTTGTCGCATGCCAACTTGTGGGTGCTGCCAATGAACCAATGATACTTTGTTTTCCCCGGAGGGTTGGGGATCATTCTATTCATGTTTTGAGAAGGAACACTCGATAGGCTTGTGAATGTGGCCCGGCTTGGACTAAGTGGGTGTGTAAAATAGAGAAATCGGATCTTTCCCTCTTAGAATTTCCCACCACCCAACTTGTACCGAGCCTCAAAACATTCAGCCACACACGCTCACATACACACCCGAGTCGGATAAAAGTGTCTCAGATGCCCCATCAACCCAGGTGATGAAGTCATCTCGCAACTCACCCTGATAGAAACCTCCGACTCGTAATCAAGGAACTCCATAAGATGAGTGCGTGGCTGACCTGCGAAACAATGTTTGCTTAACATTTTTGGCTGCTGACCTTCAACGTATTTTGTTGGCAAACACGCGACCGCCCCCCGCACCAAAACGAGCTTCCGGCAAGCAGCGGCACCTCGAGGCCTTCCGTCGAGACAGGATCCTGATGGAGCAGCGCATCAACTTCGAGCCCTTCAGGCTGGTCTTTTGGCGCTTCTCCGTGGCTGTTTGGACAGTCAGTCAACGGCAAGCTGTTGGAGTTCAGTTGCTGTGCTAGACTCTGTGACCTTGTTCTGGCTTCCTTCATATCCCTAAGAAGTGATCACTTGTTGCAGGGGGTGGGAGGCTGGGCAAGTCTTTCGACAAGCAAAGCAAGCTGTTTGGGGAACAGACATGAAACCGACGTGAGTGAGTGCGTTTGGGGGTCCAATTCTGTTGGTCTTGATGTTCAATATTTCGATCTGGGGCAATGAACAATCAGCCAAGAAAGAGGGTTCAAGAATAAAGGCCATGGTCGTCCCTTGACCGAAACGACAAGAAACAACACCACCTTGGTGAGGTCGACCGAGCTTTGCCAAAAAGGCACGGTTGATGCCAGGAGCGATTTGAACTCATAGCGCCCGGGGTATGACCTCTGACTCGGAGAGAAGCCGTGAGTACTTTTCGTTGCTTCGATTTGCAAAGTTTGGGGTCTTGCGTTCCTTTAATTGGACAAAACCGTCAATTGTTGAGGAACGCGATTTCCCTGGGCCCCAAAAAGTGTGGTTGCATTTTGAATTTTGGTTCTCAAGTTACCTTGGTTGATCTTCCCATGAAAAGGGTGATCCCATTTTCCCACAACGACAAAAAGGCCAAACGAGCCCCCCATTGTCGGGCCCTTCCTTTGGGATATTTCCTGTGAATGATAACCCCCGATTCTGGGCGGAGTAACTGCCTGCACCTCGCCGTCGTGCTCCTTTCAGCTCACGCTCTGACAGCACGCTCTCCTGCGCCTTCCTGGGGTGTCGGCATCTTAACTGGTGCAGGGTACTGTCCATCCAGGGTATGTGCCATGGTCAGAACACACGTTTACTCGGGATGTAGCAAGGAGTTGTCGTAGATCTTCGTATAAATTTGGACAAGCATCATAACAGATTCTTAAGGCAATCATGACCATGACCCACGCAAGGATTTTTGATGGTACAAAACTCTCCGGTTTCCAACACCTTACATATTGAACACTCAGCAACTTTGCTTCACAATTCCATTCAGCATAGGTTTCGGAAGCAAGTTGCAAGATTTGTCTAACAAATTATCACAAAGGCGTTGTCATTATACATATATATATATATATATATATATATATATATATTAGGGTCGTCAGAAAACCCCCGTCTCTTGTATTTAGTCTATAGCGGAATATAGATATAAGCAATCTCATCCCAGACATATGAAAACACGACGTAGGCGCAAGAAGGCGCAAGGGCGGGCGCAAGTGCTACCACTACTAGCTCCACTACCAAAGACTTGTCACATCTTGCGGAATCATGATCACTCTGAGCGGATAAGGTGTCACTGCTTACGGAAATGAAAATGTCACTGCTTACGGAAATGAAAATGTGACTACTTACGGAAATGAAGCCACTACACGCGGAAAAGTATAGGGGTAGGAAGCTCCTTTCTAGGTTCCTTTCTAAGGTTCCTTTCCAAGGCTCCTTTCTAAGGCTCCTTTCTTCGGCTCCTTTCGAAGGCTCCTTTCTAAGGCTCCTTTCTAAGGCTCCTTTCTAAGGCCTTTCTTTGGCTCCTTTCTAAGGCTCCTTTCGAGCCGGATTCCAGCTCGAAAAGCGGATCCCCAAGACAACCTTCATCACGGCCCCCTTTCAGGAGGGGTCCGCTTTTTCCGCAGAGACTGTGCTTTGTTTTTCCGCACATTTGGTTGTTTTTTTCCGCTCTGCGGGGTTCGCACGTTTTCCGCGCGCAGCGCCGAGCCTCTCCACTACCACTACTAGCTCCACTACCACTACTAGCTCCACTACTACTACTACTACTACTACTACTACTACTACTACTACTACTACTACTACTACAACTGCTACTACGACTGCTACTACGACTGCTACTACTACTACTATTACTGCTGCTACTAGTACTACTACTACTACTACTACTACTACTACTACTACTACTACTACTACTACTACTACTACTACTACTACTACGCGGTATTATGATTAAAAGTATTGCAAACTACTGCTTCTGCTGCTGCTACTACTAGACTATACTGCTATAACGCCCCGACCGCGCGCGCGGCGACCGCGCGCGGCGGCCGCGCGCGCGGCCGCCGGCGCGGCGCGTTGAAGCACGAAGGACAACAACTGGACTCATGGCAAGGCGTCAATTTTCAGCAAAGGTGAGATAGACTCCATGCTTCCTACATGTCCAGCTGGGTGACATCTTTCTTGAAGACACCCGGCACGATCATCAAGACCCTGGAGCACCTGGTTCAAGATTGCGCTGACGGGGCGGCGGCCGACAACCGTCGCGACCCGTTGGGTGCCGTGCAGTGGGTTGTGAAACGCTACGAAATGAGCGAGAAGCCAGAGTACATGTGGACCCTGAAGGAAGCCGATTTCAGTATTTCACAAACCTACTGTTTGGAGCTGGAGCCCTTTGCAGGGAACAGGTTCCTGGCCCGCTGGCGAAATTTTGTTTTCAGCGACATGGCAGAAGGCGACCTCCACAGCGGCACCGTAGTGCAGGAACGTCTGACTGACAGAAGCTGGCGGCGCGGCTACTTCCAAGAAAAGCGCTGGGAAACCTGAGAATGGCAAAAGCAACAAACTTGATGAAGAATCATGACGCACACAACCAGCTGCGGATTCCTCACTATGAGCCAATGAGCCCGGTTGCACCAAATGGGAGAAGCAAAATGCTGCCCATGCCAGGCGACTCATGCTGCGTAGGGAGAGGTGGCGCCGATTGAAAGCCAATGCGCAAGCTGCTGCCGCCTCTTCAAGTGGCAGTGCGTCCAGCACCAGCTCGGCGTCTTCCTCTGATGCCTAGAGACAAAAAGCGGCAAGGGCCCCCAAACTGGACTCCTATCCCCTGTTTTGGTCCTCACATGTTCGGCCTGGTTTGGGACAGAGCCAAACCCCACAGGAAAATAAAGGTTCTTCTTTTTGCCGGCCTTTATCTGTGCTCCAAAGTAATGCCCACTTATTTGACCAAGCGCCCGCGTTGTGGCCAGGACTTGTTTGCAGAAGAGTGTCTGCATAGGTCTGAAACACTCCAATTTGTAAGGCCCACGGGCTATTCCTGAACAGTTGGTTGGTTGGTGGGTTGGTTGGTTACTTGGTTTGCGCTTGATTGCAAAAAGCCGGGGGAGACGTTTTTCAAATACCGGCACCAAGCAGTGTTTAAATCCTGAAAGATAGGCAAAGCACCCGCATTGCGCTGACTACTTGTTAGCATGAAGCCCACCCTGCGTGACCAGAGGTGTCTGAAACAGCCTGAAACCTTCCAGCTTCGAGCGCCTACAACGTGAGGTTTCGCCAGGAGGTTGTGCTCTCTTCGAATGTACCTTTCGTGGCCCGAGCCTTATGGTACAGCTTAAAAGCCACATTCAGCACCTAATTTCCCATGTGTTTCGTGCACGAAGATGACGGCATAAGCAAAAACACACGTAGGCGCAAGGAGGCGCAAGGGCGGGCGCAAGGGATGAAGCCGCGGAACAATAATTTTCGACAACCCCCATATATACACATGTTTATGTTTGTAGGTATATACATGCAGGCAGGCAGGCAGGCAGGCAGGCAGGCAGGCAGGCAGACATACGAAAAATATATGTATGTATATATATATATATACACTCCATGGAAATGTTTGTAGGTACTTACATGCAGGCAGGCAGGCAGACAGACAGACATACGTAATATACATATATATATATACACCATTACATGTATACATATATATATATATAGATGGCACATAACTTTACGAGCAAACAATTTAGTGCATGTGCACAAGCAATGTTCTGCCTTCGGCTGAGCACCTCATATATGTGCAAGGGAATGTATACTTCGCTACACATTTAGACAGTATACACATGTGCATAAATACACATAGACACACACACATATATATATATATATACAGGCATGTATGGGGTGGGCACGTCAAGCGCCCATGCTCATTTTTTGGTGCGCCTTCCAGGGAGGTCTTCCTCTCGGACGGCGCTCGCCTGGGATGCCCCTGGAGGTATTGCAGCCGGCTGTCCATGAAGAGCCCCCCGGCTTTCGACGCAGAGGGCGCAACCAATCCGAGTTCAGAGGAACTTTTCTGGGAACTGGGCCTCCCAAAAGGCGGTGGGTCCATGTTTTGCAGGAGTGCGACCTAGGAAGATCTTGACTGACATGTGTGTGTGTGTGTCTTAAGCAGGGGTACCCCAAAACATGGCTAGGTTCCTTTTGGATTCCCTTCAAAACCACTGCCCTCGACAACAAGCCCCTGTGTGGGTCAAGGGCGTGATCAAACCAACAGGGGGAAATCATGCAATCCACTGTAGCTATGTGACAAAATGGGGATTTGGACTTTCCTGTTGGCTTCGTTCCCCCCAAGCCAGCCTGAAAAGGGTGCCCTCATGAAACAGAGCCCCAAGTGCAGTTCTCCAAAAAGTAGGGCCTGTCCTTGGGGAAATCAGGGAGAGGAGGCGTTTGGGGGAGGCGGTGGGAATGCTCAGACACCGCAAGTCACAAGCTTCGCTTGGACGTGTCTCAGAGTTCTGCGTGGTTTTGAGGATAGCTGGTCCAAAGCTATGAGAGCTAAAACGGCATGGTTACGCTCCAAAGGGTGTTGGGGGCTTGGCATGTAGGACCTGAGATTCCCTGTGCCACCCCGCCACAGTTGCTTGTCAAACGCACGGGCTCACTGAAAATTCGTCTGGAGGTGTCGACCAGCAGCGTTGCTGCTTCAAAAGCGTGGCTCAAAGGGGATGTTCATAAGCAACGCCCAAAGAATTGCAAGCTTGCTCCGCTGACCAAGCAAATCGTCGAGAGCAGCGACTCTCCGAATTGTCCAACAGGCCTCACGCCTCTATTTTTCCAAGCAACTCACCGCTCCTTGCATTGAGTTTACTCTTTGATCGTTTACTCTTTGATCCTTTGATTTCTGCGTCGCATTCGGCGCTGCAAGCCTCTCTCAAAAGTTACAACTCCAAAGTGGTTTCGGCTTGTCTACCATTTGTGGGTTTTCTGAGCAAGCCAATGTTTGTCGGGGGGCCAGAGGCTCCTACCAATGGTCAAGGATCTATCAGATCTATCAGTATTTCCCAAAGAACTCCATCAATCAAGGTTCGTGGCTAACTGTTTCCCCTTCCCTCTCCCCAAAGCCCAGGGTTTCCCATACGGCCAGTGTGTCGCCTTATCATATGCTGATCCAGGGCTTGTCACAAGGGGAGCCATTGCAGACAAGCGACTATTAAGTGACCAACAGTGCCTGGGCTTCCATCACCACTCGTTCTGGCACCCCTTGCTATCCTTCTCTTTTCGTTTTATCCTTACCTTTGCGCCAATCTTTCTGGGAGTTTCCAGTGTTTGTTTGGACATCCGGGACCCCAAGAGAAACCCACCAGAAGAGCCGAGGCTTCAAGACGTTGCTCTGCGTGCCTGGGGACCTCCACCGTCCCTTGTACCTGATCCACACCGGGGCCGTGGCCATGATTGATGCGGTGCCCAAGGAGGGTGGCCAGGACACGGAGAGCTCTTGCCGTCTTCGTTGGTTTTGGCCTGGCCTCATTAAAGTACCATGATCACAGTCACCCCCCAAGTGGTGGGTTAAAGGGAAACAGCCGCATTTTCTGACTTTGATAACCCCCAGAAACAGTCAACATAATGACCCCAGTTCGCGGAAAGAAGAAGCCAGACTGGCTGACATCGAGGCAAGAAGCAAAAGGTGGGCCCAGGTGGCATCCCCAACAGATACCCCCTCCGGAACCCCAGCCCACTCAACGCGGAGCCTATTTGGACCCCGAAGCTTCTTGGGGCAAAATACGACAGTTCAAGATACCCGTTGTAGGTTTGGCTGGGACTGTTGGAACCCCTGGTTCTTGTAGAGGGTGTTGGGTTCCGACCACCTTCAAACCGCACCATCGAGAGGGAACCTGAGAAAGGGTGAAGCAGTTTCCACAAGCGGTTGGCAGGGTTGGCCTGTCTTGTCACCAACACCAGTTGACATTTCGATTTGGGTGGGATGCTTCCTACGTGAGCTGAGGCTTCTTAGCACCCAATTCCTTGAATATGCCTTTTTGCATCCTGAAGATCACATGTCCAACTGGAGATCTAATGGATCTGTGAAAGAACTCTCTGACACTTGAAACGAATCTAACAATTTGGGGACCTGCATTTGAGTAGGTTCTTCCATGACAGGCTGATCAGTGACCTGATTGTTCAGTGGCGTGTTCGTTCTGATTTCCGAGTTCTTTCCCTTTTTATCCTCTGGGCTGTAGATTAGATGACACAACATACTGATCGTTGCTCAACTGCATTCAGTTGCATCAAGGAAACAACATACAAATTGGAATCAAACGGTGTTGTTCAAATGCATCAATTCAACATTTGTTTTCGAGCACACAATGAATGTTGTGACTGAGTTGGTTCTGGGAATTCTAAAGCATCATTATGCCTTTTGTTTGTTGTTGCCTCGATGCCCAGACTTGTGCCCGTTGTTCTTGTGTGGCATGGCGCCATTCCTATGGCGACTCCTCACAAATTGGATGCATGTGCCTTTGAGGATATAGAAACCTCCTTTCTGTTTCACATTTGTTTTTTTTTAAACAAAAGAAGACACATACCACTGGCCTGTAAAACACGCCCCCGACAAATTCTCCTCCGCTTCACCGTCGAAGCCTTTGACAGGACCAGACCTGGCAGAAGCCCCGGATCATCCTCAGGCGGGTCTCGGGCCCTGTTTTGAGGAGTTCGGTGACCTCCCCAAAACGTGGATCCTCAAAGACTCACCCAGCCAGTGGACACACTTTACACTTTTTTCCTTGGTGGCTCTCCCTTTATTTTAGTGGTGGCCAACAAAGTGTAGACTTTTTTGGGGCCGGTCACTGGCCAAGTGAGAAGAAGGACATGGTCTTGAGATCCGCTTTGGGATTCAGAGACTCTAGTTTTCCTAGGAAAGGACATCAACGGGGACCGTCACCTATTTTGCAGAGTGTCCCCCAGCTTAGAAGGCACACACCCAAAGCGGAAATGGACACACACACACACACAAACAAAAAAATGCCACCCTTTCAATACGAATCAAAAAGGCTGTCCCAAGGCGCTTTGTTCCAGTCGTTCGCCCTCAAAAGGTGGCATGGCGTGTCTGCAACTCAATGCGGCAGGCTTGGGGTTCTCCGGTATCCATGCGTATTTGCTCGCATTTGCTACCGAAGATGTCCGGAATCTTCCAAAGAATATTTTTTAGCCGCAACAACAAACATGGAATCCTCTTGGGAGTTGTTTTGGTTTCCATGCTGGTGGCTGGGCCCCGGTAACTCTGGTAGGGAACCCTTCTTGGGGACCACTGCGAAAGGGGAGCCTACAAAACAGAAAGGGGCAGAATTGTGCCGCTGCAAAACTGGGTTGACACCAAGAGTCAACCGCCTAAACAAATCCCAACAGACGGGTTTCAGCTCATCCCACCGCAGTCACCACTGCGCCCTGGGACGCATTTGCTAAATCCATTTGGAGCTCAACTTTGAAATCTCCGAGCTCCGAGCCAGGACTCAACCGCAAAATCCAGCCCCGAACCGGTCGAGGAAAACCACCAAAGCCGTAGAGACCAGACAAACCGGGTTGCGCCTGCCAACACAAATCTGCACGGCACCAAGCCTCCCCCCCAGACACACAAACACACAAAAACAATCGGAACTGTTTCATAGCTTCGCGCTGTCATTGGCAATGTCACTTCCTTGCGAACTTTGTCAATTGCCCGATCCACCGGGCCTTTCCCTTGAATGCTCATGTTGCTCATGTTCAGGTCTTCTGAAAACATGCGATTTGGTCATTTAAGGCGCTACCTCACACACACTGGCAATGGCCAGGATACAGACGGTTTTTTCCCATCATCCTTCCGGGTTGGCAATGGTCAAACTGTGAGACCCTCCTTTCCCAATTTTCGCACTGTTGGACTCCGCGGATCGGATCAATATGGTACTGAGGATCGGGACTCCGCGAGTGCATGAGCATGAACTTTCTGAATTGGGGACCCTCTGCACCTCACTTGATTTGGGGGGGTTTTATGTCCACCACCCACTTTTTGAGGGGGGTTCCTCTCATTCCAAAAGAAAGAACGCGGCCAGGCAGGGCTGGTTTGTGAACGCCAACAGCCTCTTCGGCCAGCCTTCCAACAGCTACGCTGTGGCGGTGGAGGATGGCGAGGCGCGCTGCTCCCCGGGAACGGGATCGGACGAGGGCTGGCGGGACTCACACTTCCATTGGCTGAAATGAATGTGTTGATTAGTTTCCCCTCTTGGTTTTAAAGGGAATCTATCACTGTTTTTTTTTTTTTTTTTTTTTTTTATTTAAGAGTTCTTTCCAGGGGGCGAAAACGCAAATGGATGAACAGGAAGACCGAAGCCAGTTTTTTTGGAGTCCGAAGCCCTGTGACACATTTGTGAATCTTTTTGGCGGTTACCAGCCATATGGCTAGACATTTAGTTAGATGTTTGGAGTTTGGAGTTGTGAATGACACATCACCACCCTATAAGTTTAGCCTTTGGCAAGGGATCAACATGATCAATGGGCCAGCATGAGGTTCATGGGATTTTCCACGAGCAGTCCTTCACTTTTGCGGGGAACAAAAACCTCCAGTCAGCAAGGTTCATGAATCTGGGGTCAACATCACAGGGCCCCCCTTTTTTTGAGCTGCATCGTGGATTTGGCCAAAATTTCCTAACACTCGACTTGGACCCCTGGCAGGCTTTGCGTCGCTAGGTTTGCGGGTGCTGTTGTCTTGCATAAATCAGTGCCGTTTTTCCTTGCTGCGAAGAGCCCATGGTTTTTGTCCAGCCCCCGAAGTTGAGAATTCAGCCCGCAGGGCCCGCCCCCAGCGCCCAGGGCCCCAGCAAGAGCGTACCTTGTGCAGAGCTCGCGGTACACATTTGGACTCAGGCTTGTGATCCAGTGGCCCAGGTTTGCCGGCCGTGAAGTGAGGTTCCGGGTTGCTCCGAACCTCAACATGGGCGAGCCAAATGTGGTAGATCATTGGTAACATGGGGTCCTTTTGACTTCCATTCTCGAGCGTTTCATTTTCTACCCTGACGTCATCTGCTTTCTCGCAGCCCAGCCGCTTCCCTCTCCATTCGGCTCATTGGGCCAGTGTGGCGTGCTACAGTCGGGTGAAAGTTGTCCCTCCCCTTGTTGGTTTTGCCATCCCCGTCACTTACACAAAGGGGAATTGTGCCATCTACTTTTGCCTTAGTTCGTTTTTGCATGAGCCAGAATCTTGTACGACTTGGATCTTGCGGTGAAGGCTGTTTCGCCTGACCGCGTCAGGTGCTGGGTGAAGCAGTCGTGTTTTGTTTCGTTTGCGGGTGCCCCTTTGACCTTTCAAGCACTAAAAACAGTGTAGAAACTGGGAAGTGTTCCTGATTTCAATGTTCTTGGGACCAGAACCTTGGTTTGGTTTCCCTTGGTCTCCTCCCATTGCCATTTCTCTACCACGTGCCGTTTTTTCTCGTCGCAAATTGGAGGTGCTTTTCTGGACCGAGGAGCAGCGCCTCGGTGGGGATGGGTTGGGACCTTTGGGCGAGCACGCCCAAGGGGCCCCATGGTTCTTGGCTTTGTTCACAGAGATTTGTAGAGCACACACATAGCGCGTCACAGCCCAGAAGGGTCATGATAAGTGCCTACAGTACACTCCCAAAAAAGCAATTCACGAGCAACGTTACGTTAGGCCGGGGCCTACGCCGTCAACCCCGCAGAAAGGTTCTCAGAAAGCTTCCAAAAGGCAACTAAGCTACGGGAACCATTTCTTGGGGTGCGGGCCTTTGTTTCCTCCCTCTCTCACATGGAGCCTGAAACACAAATTCTGAACGGCCTTCTTGGAGCGACCCTCTGGCATTTTCTAATCTTCTCTTTAAAGGGAGTATGTTTGTTTTCAACACTCGCCCATAGTTGTTTTCCGCAGGAGTTGCAACCCTCTTATGGAAGAGGTTTCATGGAAATCCTCTTTTGGAAGCCCGTGAGATCGACATATGGCCACCAACCATGGGATGCTCACTAGAGAGGATACAAGAGAAGACGTCCCACTTTTCGCTCAGCCTTGCTTTTTTACTACCTTAGCACTTCCTGGCCCTGCCTGTAGCCTTGCTGATTGGGTTTGGAGAAGGGTTGACGACATATGGCTGTGGGTCAAAACCAATGGTACCATTTTGGGGTAGGTGCACCACCCATTTTAGTCTATTTTAGTGGGGATTGGGATGTTCACGTCGGGTACGGGATTTTGACCCATCGCACTAACAACTAACAATTCCACTTTAGCACTGCTGTGGATACTTAGAGTTGATTTGCAGGCCAACCCCGCTCGCCCCGCACCAACCATACCCCCACCGTGCCCCACCCCCCCCTTCCTTTTGGACAAGGTTGCCACCTCCCCGGACCCTAAGTTGCAAACTCGAAGTGTCCCATGGCTCCCCAACCCCTGCGGGGGCCGCGTAGAGAGGATGTCCTTCTTGTCTTTTTTTGGGGAGCAGCGAGGCAGATTAGCACTGCACCCCAAACGGCTATCATTTCCAGAGGAAGCTTTCATGTCAATTTGCCCTCGGCAGTAATAAAGGGCCTGAATAAGTAGCATGGGGTTGCCGGGGCACGTTAAAACCAACTTAAGTCCCAAGAGAATGTGAGAATGTGTGTCCAATGTGTATATATATATATATATACATATTGTATATACACATCTACGCATATAGCGGTATACGAAGTGTCCCTGCGGGGTGGGGGGGGGGAAGGCACTTACACTTTCTCAGGTGGTGGAAGATGAGTAACGAGCACCCGCTGATGATGATGGAGATCTCCAAGGTGCAAAAAAAACCAAGTCTTGGGGAAGACGGGTGAAGGAACACAGGAGGAAATCGGCAGGTTTCTGCCAAAATGATTGCCCCAAGCTATATGAATCCCACTGCTTGTGGACTCCCAGTTTTCAGTTCTTTTGCTTACCAACTTCGGGGAGTGCAGTTGGCTCAAGGCCTCTCTATGTTTGCGGCCACAATGGCTTTTCAAGTTTGGTGACATGGAAGCAAACATGGAGGTGAACCAAGCGCGGTGCAGGAGGCCATTCTCAGCTTGGGATACCATTTTTCCCCACCCGACAGGTTTGGGGTTGATATAGATTGTAAGTGACGTTTGACCGCCACAGCCAGCCCGCGACAGAGCCTGTGACAGACAGCTGCAACAGAGCCTGCACTGCGACAGAGCCTGTGACAGACGGAGGAGCAGAAAGCCGTGACGGAGCCAGTGTCAATCGGCTTCGACAGAGCCTGTGACAGACAGACAAGACAGACAGCTGTGAAAGAAAGCTGCCACGACAGAGCCTGACGGACAGACGTGACAGACAGCTGCGGCAGAGCCTGTGGCAGACAGCTGTGACAGACAGTGACAGACAGTGACAGACAGTGACAGACACGGGCCAGGAGGACAGTTTCAGCCCGGTAGTAGCAAATTTCTTGAAGTCAGAAACCAGAGGAGGGGGAGTTGCTTTCCGTAAAATGGGGGGGTGAGAGTGGTTTGCACTGGTTTCTCGTTTGTCCCTAAGACCCGGGTTTCCGCTCCCCCCAAAAGAGCCGGTGCATTTGTGTTCTCGTGTTAGTTTCTTTCACAGCGAAAGGCATCCCTGAAACATCAGCGAGTGAGCCTTCGGAGGGCGGACAGGGCCTAGGTGAAGAATCGTGGAAGTCGAATTGGATGGTTTCGGGATTTTGCAGTTTTGGAAGACCACTCTTGAGGCCCCAACCTCCAATTCCATTGGCAAAAACGGGCCGGCCTTGACTCATTTCTGCGGGATGGCCAGCTCGCATCAGAACTCACCCCGTGCAAAGCAGGTGGCTGGACTGTTGACGTCGGAGTTCAAAACGGGGGTTGATCAATCCATCTGACAGCTCTTAGGGATTCGTCTCCCTCTCTCTCTCTCTCGATGCTTTTTGAACATTTGTGTCTACATTTGGAGGTTCGCTAAATATGGTTGTCTGAATAAATCAACTGTTGCCGGAGAGAGCCCCACCAGGCTGTGATGCGGCAGCAGGGCAGCCACCACCTGCACCGAGATCCAGCCGGGGCCCTGGCTGTCGGCCCTCGACCAAAAGGCAATTGGAAGTCCGAAAACAGGATTGGGGTTGGACAAAGCAGAGTCCACCTGCTGTTTCCCTATTGATACCAACCTTTTCCGAGCTGATTTCCCGATTGGGATGTCCTATTTTGACATATATGTGATTCGCGGCCACTCATTGTCAAGTTCCACAGGAAGCCAAAAGTGGATCCGTGTTTTTGTGTACTATTGCACATGGGTTGAAGAGAATGCTCCCTGAGAAGGGGATAGGGAATTGTTCAGTGTTTTTTTTTCAGACCGCCCTTTTTGACACTCGGTGATAGCCGTACTTTTCTATAGCGTTGACATTGGAGTACCACAGTGAGACATCAACTTCTTGATCACTCCTCAAAGGGAGAGGGAGAGTCTCCACAAAGCCGTCAACAGGGACGTAGCATATCCAACCCACAGGATCAATGAGCATGTGTCTGAAATCGCAAGATTTCGTGGCGCGGCGTGACTGAGATTCAATACTCGTCCTCATGCTCAACTTTGTGCGGGAATTGAGCGATCATGTGTCCTTCAAAAGGGATGCTTGTCAACTCCCAACGGGCGTTTCGCTAGCTTGGGGACCTCCTTCCGGTGAGAAACGAGGGAAAACAAGCTGGAAGGTTCCCAATCAAACACACCCAAACAAACAGTGATTTGCCGGGTGGCTTCAGACGGGACAAGGGTTCAAGGTGAAGCTCAATGTGGAAAAGCCTGGAACCCTAAAGCCACAAATTTGAAGGAACGATCTCTCCTTTGGTGGATCCCCTTGTTGGGTTCCTTCCATCTATTTGCACGGGATTGCCGAACCTTTCCGAGAACCACCAAATTCTACCAACCCTTCCCGGGGTGTCGTTTGTTGGTTTGGATGTTGCTGCAAAGAAAACCACCAAGAAGCCACCAAGAAACTACCAAGAAACCAAGGAACCACCAAGACACCATCATCAGGAAACCACCAAGAAACCAATGAAGAAGCCACCAAGAAACCGGCAAAAATACCAGGAAGCCACCAAGAAACCATCAAGAAGTTACCAAGAAACCCATCAAGCAGCCACCAAGAAACTGGCAAGAAAGCACCAAGACACCATCAAGCAGCCACCAAGAAGCCACAAAGCAACCATCAAGCAGCCACCAAGAAACCAGCAAGAAACCACGAAGGAACCATCAAGAAGCCACCAAGAAACACCAAGATACCATCAAGCAGCCACCAAGCAGCCACCAAGAAACCATCAAGAAACCATCCAAGAAACCATCCAGAGACCGCCAAGACTGCCGCCAAAACACCACCAGGCAACTACCCAAAAAAACCTACCAGTTTTAGATTTTAGAGGTCCCCGAAAAAGTCTCGCTGGTCGCAGCCGCATGCTTCGGTTCGACCAGGAGGCGAAGGTAGAGAAGCAGCTGGACATGTCCGCCATTGATAGGACCACTTCCAGCGACAAGGCGGAACTGCCCATGATCTACTTTTGACGGTAATTGCTTTTTTTGGGTTTGTTTGAAAGGGACTCCAAAGGAACTTTAAAGGGCTGCTACCTTAACTTCCATTTGCTCAAGAATACTTGTATTGTTCCCCTGTTGGTTTGTAAGGGAAACCATCACTACTGGAATATGCTTGTTTTTTTCCCGGAGACTTAAGCAAATTGAGGTTAAGACTCAGCCATATCCCCAGACGAAGATGTCCACCGCCCAGCCCGGCAAAAAACATGGGGGGAGAAGGGGGGAAATTGTTGATGGGGGGAGAGATTTCTGAAGATCTTCATTTCTACTTGAATATCCTTGAGAAATCCCTTGTCTTTTCAATTTGAGCTTCTTCTTCAGGTCAGTGCACTGAGATTTGCATGCCAATACATGCGTCTTCAGGAAGAGTAAGTGTGCTCGCGGCTGCCGTTTGGTCATCCATATCTTTCGGACTTGCATTTCAGCAGCACTTGATACAGCTTACTTCCTGTGCCGGCATGTGTCTTGATATTGGCAATCAGCCTTTTCTAAAAGAAAGGCGGGAGAGGTCAGGGGGCGCTGCCCTTATCAGGCCACCCTTGGCAGCCTACAGGCAAAAGATCAAGGTGAAGCAGAACATTTCACGCTGTTGCACACCCAAGCCGAAGAATGCTCAAGGTTCGTCCTAGGCACTAACATGCCTTTGAATGTGACTCAATACCCGGACTGTTTTTCAAACGTGGTAGTACGCATGGTTTGCTGTGGATTTTGAGGTGTGGCTTGCTAGATGTTTGGAGCTTGCTGGCTTTTTTGGCGAGGGTCCAAGATAGGAATGAAGCACTGTGACGCACACCCTCCCATATGAGACAGAGGGGCGCGTCTTGTTGGTACATTGGGCAGCTCATGTGAGTGAAAGGGACGCCGCTTTAAACTGAAGAAACTCACCCGCGGGTAAAGCAAACTACCCATGAAGGCCCACTTAGTTTCCAGTCGGTGAATCAATCCATTGGGGCAAATGGCGTGACAAGGGTTATTGTCCATGCTCCAGTGCTCAGAGCTGAACACCTAAGTTTTTTTCAGATCTCCCCATGCCTCCCCGTGGATGGTTTTTGGGCTGTGGCGGAGGTAGCAGTGTTGGCTTGGGATGTGCATCCGGCAACATGGTCCCTCCAACTGGAACTTGACCACAGCTGCCTTGGAAGAGTGTCCCTTCTTTAAAGACGTGGCTACCCTTCACGGAAGCTTTCCAAGGAGAAGCCCGTCCGTTTGCAGATGGTAGCGTTTTGCTGTTGGGTTAGATTCAGCCCCCCCCTCTCAACATGTAAAAGTTTGTGGAGAAATGGTCCAAACCTACACCTTGCATTCAGCTTATTTGTTTGTTTGTTTTTTTGGCAGGAGAGGTTTGAACGGATGATGGCTACCTTCCAGTAGAGTTTACCTTCAGGGCTCATTGGGAGGTCGGTTGGACGGTTTTTGTTAGGGCTGCGCCGCCTCCTCGCTCGCACTAGGGTTGCTAAGCGCACTTGTCCGGGTGTGTCCTCTTGGGTTTCACCGGGAAAACCCGAACAACCCCCCCTCCCCGGCCCCGCGGCAAGGTGCCCAGTACCTTGGACATCGTGGAAGAGGAGGAGGAGGAGTCCTCATCTGAGGAGGCCAGCGCGAGGGCGGATCAGGCTGCTGGCGGTGTCCCTAGTCGGTGGGTTTCCCTATTTAGTTGTCCCGTATTGGCTAAGTTTCCCTATTTTGTGGGTTTCCCTGTTGCTTTCCCTTTTGTTGTTTCCGTATCCCTATTGTTTCCCATATTGGTTGTTTCCCTATTGCTCCCTGTGGTTGCTTCTCTTGTTTCCCCACTATTGCCCCTTTGGTTGCTTCTTTTTTCCCTTTGGTTGTTTCCCTGTTGTTCCGCTACTTGGGTTTTTTCCTATTTGCTCGTGTCCTTATTTGGTTGTTTCCCTATTTGGTGGTTTCCCTATTTGTTTTTCTCATGGTTGCTCCCCTGGTTGGTTGTTGGTTGTTTTCCTTTTGGTTGTTTTCCTGGTGGGTTATTTTGCTATGCGGTTGTTTCCCTATTTGGTTATTTGGCTGGTTCCCTTTTTGGCAATTTCCTTTCTTTTTTTTTGGGGGGGGGGGGCCTTAACTTTTACTTCCGGCCTTCGTCGGCGGTCGGATCTTTGGCCCGGGAATGGTGGGAATTTCCCGTCAGGAGGAGATCGACATCCCGGGCGAGACAACCGTCCTGGGCCGGAAGTCTGAGGCGCGGAGCGAATTGCTACCCGGGCATTTTTTCCAGAAACTGTGGAGGGACAAATTTAAATTCGGTGGGGCGGGGGCCCGGGGGATAGGGGGGGTGGTTTTTTCATTCCTTGTGTCATTTTGTTGTTGGAGGGCGTGTCCTTAACAGTTAACATCAGCCATGCAAAGCAAAAAGGCGGCCCGTTCAACTTTTCTGATTCCCTTGCAACTGCCAAAACGGGGGTGCCTTCTTACCCCATCTCTGAAGGTCTTGGAGCTGTCCTGCAAGGACAACGGTCCCAACCTGGAGTTAGGTTCAATGTCAGATACACCCCCAGTGATGAAGGGAGGCTTGCCGGCTTGCCTCCAAGAAAGGACTTCAACCACTTAAGCTGGAGGTGCAGCGCAGTACAGATTTTTCTGCTATGCGGGGCAAGACATGTGTACTCGACAGTGGGAACCTCTCGCCGTAAGACCTCCTTGGAGGCACTGGGGGACCCGAGATCCGTCCGTGCGCGGACCAACCTAGAGCCAATCAAGTCTGTGACCATCTGGGTAGTCAGACACTGGTCTGGGTTACAGCACTACGTCTTCATCCGGATGGGGGATTGGAGATGGACGTCTATGGCGACACGGTTTGGGCGGCATGCAAAGAGAGGAGGAAGTCGGTGGCGTGTGAACTCTTTCAGGTTGAAGGTGGATTCCTGGCTGGCTGCGGCAGAAGCTTTAACATGCCTGAGCAGCTGTGAGGCCGAGTTCAATGGTGGCGTGGCTACATGAGCGAGGTGCTTCGCTTGTGCAACAGCTTGCTCAGGATGGTAAAGATGAATGGGAGCATGTCCAGAGGGCGTAAAAAGGCATCTAAATAATATAGCAGCCAGGAGCAAGTTGACAACACTGTGATGAATGCAAGAACAATCCTAATCAGCCTAGCAACAACCATAAGCGGTACAGAAAAGTAGTATCATTTCGCCAGCCTTTTCCTTTTTGTGAGGTGTTCATCCAACCACAAAACCGAATCATGCCCTGCACTGACAGCTGTTTCACTTTCTAATCTCCGTCAAGGCAGTTGACCTTGGTCTAGGGCATGAGACCTAACCTGAGGCACCAAAATTCTGAAAATTCATCTTGGATGCAGGGCATATGGGGCGGTTTTCTTTTGGTTTCCCTTTAAGCTTCTGTATAATTGATAAGGGCATTGTCAGCAAGCGCAACCACACGGACACAGACACAGATACAGAAGCAGAAACAGAAACAGAAACAGAAACAACCAACCAGTACTGTGGGTGTCAAGCTGGGCAGGTCCTCTGGCGGCCATCAGGGCGTAAGGTGAACCAACAGGACTCTCCGACTTACCTGTTGATTTGACAAATTTTACACTTTTTGGTTGCCAGGTGCTTGATTCACTTTAGTTCTAGTCAAGACCCCCCACAAAAGAACCCGGCCACGTGGAGTATCCTTGAATAGGGGCGTGCCCGTCTGACTTTTTTAGTTTCTGGACGTGTGTCGTGGTTTTGGCAAGCCTCCCAAATGCCAAGGTGTGTTATGTGAAAACCGGGAAGTGAGTTCCTTATGATGCCGACAGTGGAACAGCAAATGCACCCCCCCCCCCCAAATAGAGTGTTTTTTTCCCGTGAATTCCCTTTAGCCACCCGAAAATGTGCTGTGCCTGAAAGAAGTCGACATTCCCATGGGATCCCATGGGCTTCTCCACTTTTGACGCGAAGCCAGGCGTCTCTTTGCGCGCCCGTCCACCTTGGCGCAGCTTGGATCCGTACTGCCTCACAGAGCTCCGCAAGCGGAGTCAAGAACGTCATATGTAGCAAAGGCAATGACGTTGGCATTAGATCCATTGGCAAATGGAGGTTCGACCTCCAAAATTCCATGAAGGGAACAGCAAGGGAACAGCAAGGGGAATTGACCGCTCACATGGAACCTATGCCCCTGATAGCTTGAAGGGGAACGTCACAGGTTGCTGCTCTAAGCCAAAACCGGGGCAAGCTGGGCCCCAACTCATCAATCGCACCACAGCCCCACTTTTCAGGTCTGTGAAGTGCTAGGTCCGCAGGGTTGAGGACCGACATTCACGGTAGACAGATCAAGACAGTTCAGCCATGGACCCTTCCGGTACTTGGACAGTCTTGGTGGGTATGTTGTGGACATTGATATGGTTCTAACCACATGCGCGAACACGGTCAGAATGGGAATGCGATTCCCAGGTGGGGGAAATCCCTCAGCCCTTAGAAGACGGCGCTATTCTCGGCGAAGCTAGTTAGCGCGCGGCAAGCCGGGTGTGTTTTCCAGGGTTTGTGCTGGATTTGCAGCGCCTGGCACGCAGCCCTCGTCCACGTCCTTCGTAGAAGTCCCGCTGACATGGCCAGCATTCATCAGCGCGCGTCAGCAGACCCACAAGCCTGCAGGACCAACAGCCGACACTACTGCTTTGCATCTGCTTTGCTTCATTATCATTGTATAGGACTCAAATGTGATGTTGGGTCCCGGTGGTGAGGCTGGGGATATTGTCGCTCTCAAACCTGCCAGCGTCTATGCAAAAAGGTGTCGTTCTCTTGCATCCCCAGCATCACTACCGCGGCCTAACGTCACATCTGACTTCCAAACAAGAGTTAATGATACTCTTAATGATCATGTTAATGGTAATGATGATTGCAATGATGTGACGCACCAGCGGTATAGCGGTACTGAAGCAACCGATGCTTCAAAATGCTGCCGAAGACAGATCAATTCCATTCCTCCCTCCAGACGAAAGATTTCGAGGCTCAAACTGAGTCCCGACGGTTTCCCATGAAACCATAAGCCAGCTACAGGTGTTTCCACAGTCATTTCTCGAGGAAAACTAGCCAAATGTCCACCACAAGGCAGGATTTCTGACTCTTTGGAACCTCTGGAAAACTCGGAATGACAACAGTTGCGGCGCAAACCTGGGCCCATGTTTGTAAGACATCCTCCAAAATGGTTTCGCGGCCTTAGGATGCCTTCAGCCGGGATGTCTTGGTGAAGCTGCCGCAACTTCAGACGAGGCGCGCATAGTTGGAGCTCTTGGAATTCGGCACCAGTTTCCGCGTGCCTTTGGGAAGATCCAGTTGGCCCCCCACAAAAGTTGATCGTGGTCGTGTTTGCGTTTTTTTTTGAGGCGACAACAATTGCAATAGGAAAACCACATTTTTGGGGTGCACTTTGTCCCATGAAGAATGTTTCAACATGCTTCTTTGTCTGGGGCGAGGGGTCACCTAAACATGAAATTGTTTGGAATGCCTGTGTTTCTCGCCCGCATATGCAGTGCAGCGTTTGCACACCCCGTTGAAGTGAGCACTGCAGGGGTTGTATCGCGTATTGTCTTCTCTGCCCTTGCAGGAAGAACATTTTAGCAGGAAGAAGCCTGGGGTAGCTTTAGGATACATTTTACATTTTACCAGTGGCTCAAAGTGAAGCAAACAATAAAGTACATTCTATAACTGGGCCTAACTCTAATCATGAAGCAGTTTGGTTTCTCTTGTCATTCCACTCAGGGTTGACTTTCCATCAGCCTCTTGGTTGTCCGCGTAGTGTTTAATCATTATAGGGGAACTCATCGGGAAATCTACGAACATATGGAAGACATGTACTTGTATGGCAAGGAAAGGCATCAAGCAACGTTAACATCCTTCGCCCAATTCAGTTGACTTCCTTTTTTGATTTTCATGCAGCAATCCTTTTACGGCCGTTTGTCCGATTCCTTGGGCCAAGAGTTGTGCCACTATCTTTGGCCTGTCAAGCCAGGTGGGCATGGGTCAAAATTATCGCCACAGGCAACCCGCAGGTTTTCGTCCTTGTCTCCATTTGTCAGGGGTCCCTTTTTGGGATTACCCTATGTTTGACAGCCAGGTCAGTCAAGCCTTCGTTCCCCGGGCGGTTTGAACCGGCTCGCCGCGTTTTGCGCAGGATCCTGGAGATGCACTTCGCCAGGGCCCTGGGCGAGCTGGGCTTCTTCGCGAAGAAGCCGCTCGGCTCAGAAGAAAAGAGCGAGGCGAGGGGAGGTGAACCGAGGCGAGCCAAGGTGAGCCGAGGTAAGAAAGAGCGAAGCAAGGTGAACCAAGGTGAGAATGGTGAGCCAACGGGTCAGAAAGGTGAGCCAAGATGCAAAAGACAGCATTTTTGGATAGGTGAGTGAACCAAGGTGAGTATCAGTCCCATTTTAGACTGGTTTTGCCCTTGGTGTCTTCAGGCCCATTGGTCAGAGTTGCCCTGCGCCTGAGGTGGTTTCCCCTTGAGACCCACCCTTGCGTTTACAGGATTTTGCTTTCAGTGCCGAGTTCTCCATGCTGATGATTTCCTGAGAAAAAGCCACTGGTGGGCCCCACATCGCCCAAACCAAATATCTTCTTTTGGATCATGTGCAGGGGCTGCAACTTTGCGGTCGACATTGACTCGCCGGTCCAATCCATTCCCCAGACCTGAATGTCGAGGGTTGGATGGGGATGATGCACTCCCGCGCGCATGCTGCCTGGGGGCCGCAGAAAACAGGTGAGGGGAAGCAGATGGGATGGGTTGGAATGCCACACAGGGCAAAATCCAGTTTGCACCAATTGGGTTATAGATATATGTGGCCGTTCCCTCCGGAGTGTGGAAAGCAAAGCTGAGGGAGTCGCTGGGCGTCCTGCCACAGCTGCCAAAGCGCCGCGCTTGGAAGAGGTGGAGGGCCAGGTTGGCTTCGGAAGGATACGAAGTCAAAGCCTCCCCCCCCCCAACAAATAGATGGCTATCCTAAATGATATGCGGCAAAGGATCCCTTTCAAGGGAAGCACTGGAGGGTCCAGATTGATTGTTTGACTCTAGGTCTTCAGTATTTGCTGTTTGCTTCAGTTTTTGGTGGGGTTGCCTTTCGAACGCGAGCGTTTCAGTGTCTCTCCTTCGCTGGCAAGACTGCGGTTGTCTCAGATGTGTTGGGGGCTCAGCCTGGTTGTTTCACTTTCAGATCACAGTGATGAATTCATGAATCCCTGGAACTCCTCATGTCAGGTTGGAACTTTTTGCAGCCTTTGATGAAAGGTGTTCGGTGCTCTTTGTCCCACAACCCAACCTCCGCTTTTGTTTGAAGAAGAAAAACACAGTTCTTCAGCTTAAAATCACAGAAGCGTACCCCACAAAATAATCCCTTGCCCCTAATGATAACACGCCCCCCCCCAATAGAAAACAATCCTTCCCGGCAAAGCAATTTTTATTACTAGGGGTCCATTGGTTCTGCAGGGCAGGTTTGACACGCCCTTTGACTTTGACCACCAGCCTTTGTACTTAGTGCAGCCAGCCGCAGTAAAGGAAACGTACTCCCGGAGCTCTGGCTCGAAAGTCGCAACTTTGTAGTACGACCGTAGTAAAGGAAACGTAGTCCCGGGTCCCCCTAATAGGGCTGGATTTGAGTACGTGCAGGAAAATGCCCACTTTAGAATTGGTTTAGTATTGGCTATTCTAAAAGTAGTAGTATTCCCGGATTTGGGACTTCCCCAAACATATTTTTATTATTAGGGAGACGTTTTTTACTAGGGGGAACGGATTCGCAGCAAAGATCAAACCACAAAGTATGTGCAATATATAGCCAGGGAGATGCCTCGAAACCACCTTGAAATGTAGCAACCCGGTTCGCCGAGTCAACTTGATTGGGGCTCGGAGAGGCCCAGGTACCAAGAGAAGGATTGGTGCCTCCCCATTCAAATCTCTTCTGAGGTCGTTTTCTTGAAAACGCTGAGGGCCGGGGCAAACAACAAGCCCAAGTAGTTTCTCGTAACAATCCAACCAGAACTGAACCGGAACGCGATCCACTCCGGAGGCTGACGGGTTGGGCGTTCCAAGGATCCTCTTGGAAGACCTGCGGGTGGCGTTTTTCACGTTTGCTGAGAAGGACGGCGAGATCACGGCAGCTCGGACCAATGGGAGAGTGGGTGAACTCAAAAACGGGGACCCCCTATGGTTGGTCTCCTTTTGGTTCCCTGTTTAAAACCACCCCAAAGGGTTCCCTCAAGTAAAGGCATCCGTGTCCATTGTATGTTTCGGGGAGGCACCCCTTCCGGGTGGTTTCGATGGGTTCTGGGCTCCTCCCAGATTTGGGAGATCATAAGGAACCCCCGCCCTCCCCCCCCCCCAAGCTTTTGAGAGTGGTTTTGAAGGCGCCATCCCCAGCTTTTGGAATCGGTCGGTGCGCCGTAGGCTTTGCATGTTCATTTTGGCGACTTACTCTGAAGCTCACCTTGCCGCAGATGAATTTGGGAGGACCCGGAGACCTGACAAGGGCCATGTAAAGAGTCCCACATTGTTTTTGGTTGGACAGTCACGATCGCGTTTATTTCAAGAAGGAATGTGTTTGTTTTGCATACAGCCGCGAGCTACGCATGACTCAAGCTAATGTGGAGACGAGGCAAGGCCTTGTCAGGCTGCTTCGTCCTTTCTCGCGTATCTTATCTCTCTCCACTTGCCATGGTCGGTGTTACGACGAAGGCAGCAAAGGGGTCTCTGCCAAATCGGCCCTGGG